TGTTTGTTTTCTTTTATCTGTCTACGTGTAACAAGTTTTCCTCTACATTTACACACTGCAACGTTTTTGAACGGTGATACAAACCCGGTTTTGAATACGTATAGGCTTGAATTTATACGAAGAAGAAAAAAAATAACACACATATGTATATAGTAGGTATGTATGTATACTGTATAGTGAGTTGAAAGAGAACCAAAAAAAGAAAACATGTTGAGAGTGTCGAATATATAGTACGTTCATTGAGGGCTATTTGAAAATGTTTGAATCGTATATTCTTTTTCTCTGCTATTCAGAATTCTACATACTTGACTTTTGATACGTGGGTAGAATGTGATGTAGTCGTCGACGTCGACGTCGTCGTCATCGTCATCGTCATCGTCATCGTCATCATCATTGCTGCTTCTTTTTTTCTTTTTGAACGAAAAATAAAATCAATGTGTTGATTTTGCGTCTTTACTTGATTTGATTTCTGATATTTTCAAATACAAACTTCGAATTCAGTACCGAAAAATTACGTAAACTTTAATTATGGGTTTGAAAATTTAGCACAGAATTCGGGATGAAGTAAATAGAAAAAGAGAGAGACACACACACACACACACACAGAGAGAGAGAGAGAGCGATCAGAAAAAAACATGAATTAAAATTCAGCCTTAAATCGTTCAGGGTCTCAAGCAAACGGCATTTTCATTCATCATTTACTTAAGTATTCTTATTTCAACCATTTCGGTTGAATCTTTCGCATCAAAAAACGGTCGCACATGTGCACACAGATCGATTTAATTGAGCAACCTTTGCGTTCATTCCGAATGTGTTTGACAATTTTTTGTTTTTCTTCTTCTCTTGCCTCGCTTCGCGCTTGAATAAGCATTGAAATCACATCGTAGAGTGCATTAGGTGTGGAATAACGAAGTGAGAGATAAAAAAGAGAGACAGAGACAGAGAGCGCCCGGTGCACAGAAGAGATGCACTTACTAGAAAATGAGATTCTTTTGATTTTTGTTTCCATGATGTTTTGAAGATTCTGTGCACCCGCTGGTTTGACTACCTGGTTGTGCCTGATCAACAAAGCCGCATCAAACCAAATATATCGACAATATTTTATCTATGGTATAATCGTAAAAAATCGAGAATTATTTTGAACTCGAAAACGAAGGAAAACAAAACGTTTAGTAGACAAAGATTGAATAGTGAAATAGGTATGCACTCAGGAGAAAACATGAATAAAAAGGCACAAATACACACGCACGGCACAACACGAAAACTGAGAGAATACAAGGAAGAAAGACAGTATCAAGCACACACATTGAAATCGAATCTTTCGAGAGAGAAAAAATGAAGAAAAAAACAACAACAGCAACAACAACAAAAATAGTTGTGTATATATTGAGAGACTGCACATCTGTTCATTTTAAATTCTAAATATTCTATTTAGCTGGTACGCATCACAAATACACATTATATCATGAATATGCCCACAATGAAACGACAAAAGTCGAATCTAAATTAAACGATATGACACAACGAACATCATCCATCCGTTGTCGCAGTCTTGGAAAATTAATGCGATATCACAATAGCGGAAACGGCATTGCCATCACGAGCTCATAGTTTGAATGAACAAAATTCTAACGACAACAACAATACAAATTAAAGAATAAAAAAACTGAGTGACAGAGAGAGAGAGAGAAGAGAAGAGAAGAGAATACACACGCTCTAGGGTCACTATAATAGACTGGACGACAATAATTATTTCGTATAGGTATAGCACAGCATTCATTTTTTTCGATCTGTAACAATAGCACATACAGAGAGTGGAATCATTTATTATATTGATTTTGAGTGGACAAATGTTCTTGCGTAAATTCAATCAATTTCTTCGTCTTTTTGTTCGATTGTTGTTGTTATTTTATTGAGAAAATTGGGGAAAAAATATCAATAAATTAGTGTTAATAGGCATCCTTTTCGCCTGCTAATTCTCTACCCGCCAGGTCAGGTTACAACTTGAACGAAAAAGTGCATGCACAATTGTATCGTAAATATCTCGTTTTTGAATGTATGCATATGTGTGTGTGTGTGTGTGTATGGAGCAAAATCTGTGTTGAATATAATTTTATACAGAGAATTGAGAACTTTGTAATTAGACGCACGACAAAAAAAATTACGAAGACTTGTAAGAAGAAGAAAACAACAACAAAAAATCAACGGTTACGCTGCATTCATGTTGAATCAACATTGTTGACGCATATGCACTGTGCACTCTATATTTATCAAGTTATTTTTCGTGAAACTATGTATAGCACTGACAAAATAGACAGGCATTCACATGCGAACAGAGACAAAATTGTACACGATGAGTTGAAATATATATCGGATCTAGGTCCGGAGAAGTCACCGAGATGTTTTGGCCTACGAAATGCTCCACTCTCTGTCATGTCTCGATTGTGTGTGTGCGTTTGCAAACGAACAATGCTGTCTCTATCTCATTGGCAGCTCTCTTTCCCCCTTGCTCAACTGAGCAATTTACTTCTTTGTCTCTTCACCTTTCTCTCTCTCTCTCTCTCTCTCTCCCTCTCTCTAGATCAACCGCTACCAAGAAAAGTTGACACATTTTTGTATAACGACACATACAAAACGAAACGATTTGAGCAAGAGAGAGAGAGAGAGAGAGAGAGAGAGAGAGAGAGAGAGAGAGAGAGAGAGAGAGAGCGTTTCAGCACACACTGAATGAAATGCATCGAGTTTTCTATGATATTTTGATGCAATCATCTTTTGGAAAACGATTTAAGCGACTAGTTTGTGTAAATAAGATCATGTAAAACTGTTGTATGAGCTTCTTCGAAAAACCGATATTCTGTAAACTGTTGATAACAAAAAAAGAATCACAAACATGAGAAGAAGAAGAAGCAGCAGTAGAGAAAAAAAACAATGATCATTCTTTGAATCACGATCGGGCTGCATCCATTGATCGAATATTTGTTCATGTGCATTCATGTTGTAGATGCGAATTTTTGGTGTTGAAAATGGAAAGAACACAGTGACGTCGAAAAAAAGAGAAAATAACAATAAACATTTGCCTGTGCATTTCCGTGGAAATGCTCAGACTGTAAATGATCGTGAACATTTTGATCGGCTCAATATCCTAAAATATCACTTGAATTTTGAAGTACCCATTCGCCATTCGTCGGATCATTTTGACGATTGCTTGGGCCATCATGAAATCGGATAGCAAATCAAATTGAAACGGAAACGAAATTTTCTTCTTTGAAATGATTGCTACTGATTTTCATTTCGGCAAAAAATTTCGTGGTAGCTTTTTTCTTTCTGACAATAATGAGTTGTGCCATAAAATCTCGCCCAGATAATGATGACGTGCTTAACAAAGAAAAAAAAACAACAAAATATCGAAAGCCAAGATAGAGAGACAACGCAAGAAGAAAAATGAACGAAAGCCAATTCGGAGCTGTTCAAAATGTTATGAAACTTCGTAAAAATGTGTGTTGTGTGTGTATAGGAAGAGAAGAGAAGACGAAGAGAAAAAAAAATTCCTGAAAATTTCAAAGAATAGACGTAGAACGCATTTAATACACACGCGTACTTCACTGCAAAAAAAACAACAACAACAAGAGAAGGAAAATAAATGAACGAAGAAATAAAGTTGAATAACAGCAAAAACACAATGCTAAAGCGCAACGTACGAAAGCAGATCCTTTCTCACACGGACGCTCTTTTGTTCTCTTTTCCTCTAACACGTAAATCATTGTGTTCACTTTTCGCTTCTTGATTTGCGTAAGCAACGTGAAAGGCAAAGCAGCGGCAGCAACAACAACACAAAACTGAAACAACAAGCTCGATGCACGCTTGCCAGTGTGTGGTATTTGAGAGTGAGCTCGTACGCTATTATTAGCATTTCATTCATACAAAATAAACCATCAATCACAACGTAAAATATGGTAAAACATAAAAACACTCTTCTTCAGCCCAACGCTCAATCAATGTAACGATCGAAATCAAAAAACTGTATGAAAACCATTGAATTGTGGAATCTTTTTTTATTCTTCTTTCCAATTTACTACCACCACTGCATTCGATTCACACCAAACACATAAAACGCAAAACAAGAAGTATGTATGAAGAGGTAGAAAAACCATTTCTTGGAACGAAAAATCGAAAACTCGCTGTGTGTTTTGACATTTTTGCAGAATGTGTTGCATGGTCGTTATACGAAATGAAAACGAAGCAATCGACGATGATAAAGTCGCAATTATTTTTCGTTTTTTTTTTCTCGTTCGCATATCAAGAAATCGAAACTATGTTGCACATTCAAATGCACTTTTTGTTATTTAACCTCCATTTTTTTTTATATTTCGGCATTGATGATAAGATATGATATGTAGTGTGTTGAGTATGTGTGTCTCCATTGAAACAGAAGATAAACAGAAGACGTGTTTACGATAAATAATACACAATGTTAAATAAGAACATTGAAGGTTCCCCTTTAACTCTTGTGTCGTGCGTTGTGTTTTTATTCTCTTCACCGTTCAATTTTTTTCATTGCAAATTAAACACAAAATGTGTAACATTGATTTCGTTTACTTTTCACATTACACACACTCTTTGATGCTCGATGCGTTTTTTTCTTGTTCTTTTCATTTTACAATGCGACAAGAAATTGAATGCACGCTTGGACTTGATATAATTTATCAAACAAATACTTTTGCACAATCGCTTGCAATGTGAAAGGCTCTAATTTGTTTACTAAGTCGTGTCTTATAGGAAATCTTATTCAGTAAATATGCGATAAAATTAAAAACGTAATTCTTTCGTCGGCAAGAAAAAAATAATGTGTAGTAGACAAACGATAGAAGCACATTTTCAACTAAATTTCTTACGGCGTTATTCTTAGATTTGATGATAGTAATACGTATATTCACACATATTTCGCATTAGATCATCAGCTAATGGGTAAAAATTTACTCTTTTATTCTCTCTATTTACAGAAAGCGCTTACCATGACGAATTTTCAACCAACACCACATTTGGACTAAACGAACATTGTTTTGAAAATTAAACTCAATTCAGTCGCATCAGAATATAGAACGTATAGAGAGAAACGGAACAAAAAAATCGAGAAAAAGAGGAATTGGGTGCACGTCTTTTGGTACAGTTCGGTGTTTGAAAAACAAAAAAGGGAAATACGTACATAGTTTTTAGTGTCATCCACATCGGCCACAATATCGCCAGAAAGAAGAAAAAAAAACGACAGAGAGAGAGAGAGAGAGAGAGAAAGGGAAAGATAGAACGAAGCGAAAAGAAAAACAATCATCCAGAATCACACCTATCAAATATGCTAAAATTCGTAGTATGGTGATTTCCATAGCATGGTAAATACCATAAAATGGTAAATTCCATAAAATGGCAAAGCATCATTCAAATCCGCCACCAAGACCACCAAAACCACCAAAATCGAATTCGATACGAATGTCAGAACCGCCAATGTCAGAGCCGCAAGCATCAAAAGAAGCTGAAAGTGAAACAACCCTTCCGCCTTTACAGCCGCGACAAGCTCATCAAATACCTCCACCATTGCCACCAGGTAATTTAATACATTTCAATGCTTAATACGTATACGGTGACGCACACACGCACACACGTATATGGTGGCACAAACGCCTCCTCGTGTCTAGTCAAATTTTCGCAACTCAGTGTGCTGTTTATATATTCCATTCTAATTCATTCATTCATTCTTCCATCCACTCATTCATTCATTCGATTCATGTCAGTTGAAATGACTTTCGAAAGAACATTCTTATTTTATTTTTTTGCATTAGTTCCATTGAATGGTTGTTCATTTTTTTTTTACTCTTTTTCTCGGCATGTTTCGTAAAACAGTGACGCAACAAGTAGGAACATTCGCAGTATTCTCAGGACAACATACACATTCTCCTCCGTCGGCACAGCAATCAATTCAGCACGAACAGACGCAGACAAATAACAACAATATTAATAACAGGTAAGACGAATGAAACAAATACGTCGATTTCGATTGAATTTATTATTCGGTTTCGTTTTTTGTGGAATCGCAATTTGTGAACCAAATCTCAATCTTCAAATTTATATGAATTTCTATCGTTGTTTCTCTTTTCGTTAGATTTCAAGCGACAACGCTCCCGATTACTGTACCACTTACATCGTCGAGTTTTTCGCGACGGAGACCGCCACCGCCCGGTTCAGCGCTGCCCATAATATCATCACTTACATCATCAACATTATCAACCCAGTCAAATAATAGTCAACATTTGGATACGCAAATATCTCCAGTCACACTGGCGGCGCCGAGACCGGAAACAGAACGGCTCGCAAACGAGTATGTGGATACGCCTTTCCGAACACCAAAATTATTGGCTCGACTTCATCATGCAGGAGTTCATTCAACGCATCGGTAAGTTGAATCAATTCATTTGGACGCTGGTTTCTTTTTCTCCTCATTTCAATGATCAATGCATTTGCACAAGATTTTTTTTTCATTTGAGACTAATTGTGATTTCTTCTTGTTCTTGATTTTCTTCACCTCGAATGAAACGAAAAAAATAAACAGAGACTCAGCAATCGTTGCAACTCACCAGTCAACGCATAGTAATCGGAATGGCGACCGAACGGGCGTCATCGGTGGGGACAAGCATCCGTCAAATACGATTGGTGCGGTAACGGCGGCTCAATCGGTTGATGTGAAAACGCATCCATTTGTTAGTCGAACGCCGAATGCGGCCGTTGCCGATTGCTCAAATTTGGGCCGTGCACGAAATTCGATCATTGACTTAGCCTTTTTCCCACATGAACTTCGTGACAGACATGGTGGTGATAAGGCCATTCGTTGCACAGACATTCCCGCTGCGATGCGAGCAAACCCAAATAGGTGCGATCGAAGCAACGTGTTACCGATTACAGCGATTACGAAGCAACCGTTGCCGTTTTCAAAAGACTCGTCGGCGGCCGGTCTACATGAAGACGTCGACATTCATCCGGCAAACGGTGAAACGCTAAACTCGATAACATGTCCAACATGTAAGCGGTGTCGATGCGAAGAGTGCCAAAGGCCGAGACAGCTACCATCTCGTTGGGTGTGTGACAATACATGCTTGTGTAGTGCCGAAACGTAAGTGTCTAATCACAATTGGCTTTTTATTTTAGTCCGCTTCACATGCATTCGGTGCGGTGCATCTGATTCACATTTGAATAAGCTTATGCTTCCGATCATATTTCGACGATTTGCTTTTTTTCCCTTTAACTAATGTCTCTTTTTATTCTGTCTCCATTTCTTCCCTCTCAACGCGCACAGGATTATCGATTACACATCGTGTTTGTGTTGTGTGAAAGCCCTATTTTACCATTGTTCCAAAGACCACGAAATTGAGTGCGAAGGCGACAGTATATCGTGTGCGGATGATCCATGCTCGTGTCTGCCGCACAAACGAACTCAGAGATGGGCTTGGTTGAGTGCATTATCAATAGCATTGCCATGTCTATGGTTTTATTGGCCGATGCGCGGTTGCGTTGCCATATGTGCAAAGTGCTATGCTAGACATTCGCGGCATGGTTGTCGGTGTCCCGTGCAAAATTCAAATAAATCTACAATTAATAACATTAGCAGTAACAACAGTGGTACAAATAGCACACGAATTAATCGGACTGGTGATTTAACACCCGAAAAACGTTTGCTCGATTCAAGTCCTGAATTCTAAATTATTACTATTAGTTAAAACAAAACAAAACAAAACAAAACAAAACAAAACAAAACAAAAAACAAATGAAGTAAACAAAAAGCAGACCACAAAAAAAAAGTTTAATGTGTCTACCCGCTGTACTGTGCACACATGTACATAAATCTCACGACGGAGAGCGGATATACTACAGCCATACGGCTGCCGGGCGTGCACACGTACGATCACGTCGCAGTCGCTACCCTCGGTCGACGAGAATCGGACTCGGTCAGTTGAGAGGCCCTCGAAAGTATATGCGTTCCAGTTTGTATTAAATACAAAACGTGTGCATTCGTCGCCTTGCGAATTATACGAAGAGGCAGAATGAAAAATATTCGAGTCGAGCGAACGAAACTACAGACACGCACACACAGTCGATTGATTCGTTTGTATGCATTGTGTCATCGATTCAACCGAATGAATTCGCACAAAAAGAACGAAATCGTAACACAGAGGTTTTTGTTGCCAAATCAAAATCGCACCCATACTAACAAATCAATTGACAAATATTCAAACGCGCATCGATCGAGCACCGTATTTGAATTTATTAACTGTGTGAGACCAACAAGAACAACAAATAACAACAAACGGGGAAAGCATACAGCAAATTCATTATCGAATAGACGCGGAGACAAGCCAATTCCAATCTAACATTGAATGCAATGGAATCGAATCGAAAAAAAGGGGAAAAAACACAAAAAATAATAATTTTACGAAATTAAACCAATTCATCTATACAAAGTAATATATATAATACACAAAACAAAAAATATATATGCGTCTCCGACCCCGGAAGCATCTTGGCACGTTGTTCAATGACATAACAAGCCGAAATGCTTTCCAGATAGGCCGAAAAAATATAAATATTCAAACAAACGAAAGAAAAACTAAAATGAAAATGAAAATACATATGTGTAACCAAAGACTGCAACATAATTAAAATTTAGGTTTTTTTAATTATTTAAATACATGGCAAATTGAAGAAGAGTGAACGAATAAAACGCGAAAAACAAATGAAAATTTAACGTGTGTGTAATATCATCCAGCCAATATAAACGCTCTGTCATCGGTTGAAAATACTGACATAAATGATGAATAAAGGGAAAACCAAAGTCAGTCACATCAGTTTGATTTGATGTAGGTAGATATCAAACGACGACCGCACGGATACACCAAAATAGCCACGACTCTGTTACATTGTTTTAATTCATGTCATTGAAATGGACACGAAAATTTGAGTTAAAATTCGGTTTTTTTTTGTCCGTGCTGCTGCATTAAAGGGATTTTATCTATTAACTTCAATTCATAACAACTAACAAAAAAAAAAGGTAAAACTAAATATTAAACATACCGGTAATAGGCGATCGCAACGATCCACACACACACACAAAATAATAGAGAAAATGCAACAGCTTCTGTTTTTCCGAGGTCGAAACAAAAAAGTAATAGCACGCGGCTTTTGTCTCGGTGTGTATGTGTGATATATACTTATATTCTTTTTCATCTCAACTCTTACTCATGAGAAAAGCGAACTTTTCGATTTTTTTTTCTTTTAATTTTTCCCGTATCAAACTGTTTTTTTTTTATTTTCTCTGTTTAATAAATTTTATTTCAAAATGAAAAAAAGAATTTATTTCTTTGACTTTGCGGATAAAACAAATATTAACCACAAACATAAATGGTGCGATGTGCTTTTGTTGTTTATTACAACATTCAAAGTGTAGTGAAGAATCACTCTAATCACATTCAATAACCACTTTCCCAAAAAATACTCTCTCTGCGTGTGTAGTTGACTGGATTTAAAGCAAAATACGAACAAAAACACGTCAAAATCAATATTCATCAATAACAATGTTCAGTACATCAACATCCCGAATCAAATGAACCACGAACAATTTGAAAATAAGCATTTGATAAGTTTTCAACTCAAAACGATTGTATTTTTCCTCTTCGAAACCATTTTCACTCTTTTCTTTGGAAATTTCTATTTCGCCAGTTCGATATTTTCGGTTGTACATTCTGAACTATTTCAATTCAATGGAATTAGGTTTCTCTCTCCCTCTCTTTCACTTATTTACTCATTCACTCACTCACTCACTCCTTTTATCTTCAGTTTTATCGAATCCCCTGTTAATTATTCATTTATGTTGTGCACATCAGTTCATTCTTCAATCAAATATTCCCTTAATTTATTTCCATTTGTTCTACGCTTCGTATTTGCACAGTTGTTTGTCCTTTGCAAATAAAGCGGATTTTCTTTTTCGATCTCGGCACCAATTAGTTCATTGCCCCGGCCGCCTTTCGAAAACTCCTCTTGCTTTACGCGAAAATGCAATTTCAAGTGTGTCAAGTCTCTCTAACTGTGTGTGTGTGTTATCTTTGTTCAAATTTCCAACGAGAAAAAGAAAAGAGTGGTAAAGTTTGGTTAACAGGGCAGATTTGTTGTTTATTTTTTTGAATTTGATTGTCGGGGTTTTCCGCAAATAATCCGTGCAGGTGCATCGAAAAAATTCAAATTGAACATTTTCATAAAAAAAACACCAATTTCAAAATCAAATGAAGATTCGAGAAGAAAAAAAAGAAGGAAAAAATTGGAGAGAAACGCGAAAAACAAACATTTAAAAAAATATATATGAATGATATTTCATCAGTATTATCTAGTCTCATAAAACAAAAACTCATTCACTTATGATTGAACACAAATTTATTTAAACGACCATACATACTCTGAGTAAATTTGAATGAGGATGTGTTGTTACTTGTTTCGTTCACAAGAAAGAAAGAAAGAAATGGAAAAGAAATGAAAAGCAAAGCATCAAAAGTTGAATAATAATAAAATACGAAAAAAATGAAGAAGAAGAAAAAGATCGAAACTGTAAATCTTAATTTAGGTAGTTAGCTTCGTTTGTTTAATTAACACAATTCTTCTTTCTTTCTTTTTTAGAAAAAAGAAAATTCAATTTTAGCTAGACGAACAAAATTATTGAAAAATAGAAGAATGGCATAGAAGAAAGCTCTGAAACTTATACACAAACACACATACCTACAAACAGAGAATAAATCGTAGCCACAACGTTTTGTGAAAATACGCAGAAAATCGCATTAATGCTAATTAATCCAAAACAAGTACATAATAAACTCGTGCTCGAACACAAACACACACACACACACACACAAACACCAATTTTTGGTGGGAATATCCTCTAATTTTTCTTTCGAAACAAATGCAATCGACTAAGCGAGAATTCATCGGCCTATCAAATTTAATCAGTGACAAATAAAAATGGTGTACGACGGTGGTGGAGTTTTCAATGCAACTTACACTTAGATTTGGAAACTTTGTCAACGTCATCGATACACAAATTTTTATTTTCTTCTTCTTTGTCATCGTTGGCGAATACTTCAATGAGCGAAACTGTTTTTTCCGACTTGAGTTTCTTTCTTTCGTTTTTTTTTCCTTCAAAAAATCGTTTTCGTTCGATTTCATTCGATCTCTCTCCCTCTCTCTGGAGAAAGAAAACGCCGAATGGAACGAGTGAAATATTAAAAAAAAAAGCATTTTTCAAAAATAACACAAATGCAAGAAATAGGGAAACAAATGGGAAACGAAGCTCATAGCTGTTCGATGGCATAACGATTGAAAAATTCGGAGGATACATAAAGGAATTTTGTTGTAAATGATTGTAAATAATTTGAAACTATGTAATAAATAATTTGTAAAACTAAATGATGTGGTGAGAAAATTGAAAGGAAGAAACGAAAAACAGAAGATAAAAAGAAAACACAAGAAAATGAAGGAGAAGTAATAATGATGGAATGCGCTGTATAGGTATATTTTAAGAAACTGAATGAAAATACACACACGCAAACAAACAAACAAACACACTAGTAGAAATGTTTAAGAAGTTAGGCAAAATAAAAGAATTAAACGAAAATGGAGGAGAATAAAAGAAGAAGAAAACGGAACGAATCGAATTGTTTTGAAGATAGGAAACACTAACTTCCATGTATGTTTCATGTATTATTATATATCCCGAATGCTTATTGAGAGAAATTAATTGATAACAAAAACAAAACTAATTAAATTAAATGGAAACGCATATTAAAAAATAAATGGAAAAATAACAGTAATTTAATAAAAAAAAGTGGAAAAAATTGTTATGATTTTAAAAAGTAAAACAAAACAAAAATTATAATTACACATATTCATAAGAGAATAATATAATTATATATAAATTACAAAAGACGTTTTCATTTGTTTGTTTTTCTTTTTTCTGTTGTCCCCTATAAATTCGTGCTTGGATTTTTCCTCGATCTTTCCCTGTTTGTGTTCATCCCTGTCTGTTGTCAACTTTGTCGGTGGGCCGGTTTGGCCCAAGTTTGTGATGCAAAGATAAAAACCGAAATCCGAAAATATGCGCGACGAATTTGAATGAAACGCTTCCAAATGTGCGTCATGCGCGATTTACATCAACACTTCACTCTAGCTGACAATGGGCGATTTCGATGATGATTTCTTCGTATTGGCGTTTCATTCTACATATTATTTGTGCGTATGAATGCGACTTTTTCCGATTTTGCTGCTGCTGCTGCTGTTGCTGCTGCTGCCTCTGCCACTGCTTTTTTTTCTTCCCTATTTTCATCATGCTCTGCTTTCACGTGTGTGGACCGAAATTATTTTTACGCTTTTGGCTCTACGTGCACAAACAAAACGACTGTGTACGTATATATAAACACTGTGGTAATTTGAAAAGCTAATTTTAGCCTATTGGCACATGCAAAATGGGCAAAAATATCTACGTCATGCGGACACACAGAGATGCAGGAGAAAGAGACAGTCGCATAAGGAAATTCAGGGAAAAAAAAACGGAAAAAACACAGATTTAAGAAAAAAAAAAAACGAGAGGTCGTAAGTATGAAATCGGGAAAATGACAACAAATGAACAGAAAACGACGCGCACACACAAGCGTTGCAAGAAGAACGAAAGAAACATTTTCGTGATCGCAAATCGAGCTCGTGCTAAAGTACGCGCACGTCCGTTGCCCACGAACACACACGGCTTGTTCTCGCTCACTCGCTCATTCACTCCTTCTTTTTCACATTCGCGAATGAATATCGCTGTGCGCGACATTAATAAAGCCTACAAATAAAAAAAACCAACAATCCGCTCATAGCATAAGAACCGAAAATGGTTTGATGCATTTTATATGGTTTTCATATATATTTTGCATATGCTGCGCGTTCATAATTTCTTCTTCATTCATTCGTTGCGTACATGTTTGGCAAATATAAAGGAGTTATTTTGCCCACATAGACATAAATGGCATTCAAGTCGATTCCAAAAGGCGATATTGTCATACGTGCATATCGCAAAAAGAAAGTATTTGATCGAAATATTAATCGACGATGTGTTCGTTGGCTTTGCAAATAAATCGCATTTCGACTCTATCCACTTATAATTGAATATATAATTCAAATTGAGTGCAACTAATAAATATAGCACGCCTTTAAACCAGCCATTCGAATCGGATGATGACTTTCTTCCGTTTGCGCGGTGACGTACACAGATAACCTCATTGAAAGTTGTAATGCAAACGCATCATCACCGTTATTGTCATCATTTTTTTTTCTCTGAATGGTTCACTTCAATGCATTTGACCATTTTTCACTATAGAAAATTTTTGAAACATTTTTTTTTTGAAGATACATCCCACACACTTCTAAAACCGGTGCTTCCAATCGTTCAATTCTCGTTTTCAACGCTGACTATTCAAGACATGTAATTTTCTCCTATTCATATATGGTCCATAAACATCTAACAATTCTCTGGTTTTATCGTTCATCAACTCAATTTCAAAGAGTCTTTGTTTTCAATTTTAATTATTTTTCTCTTTTTTGACCCAGTTCTTGAATACGAGCCCCGACAATTTTCGACAAAAAAAAACACTGATCTTAATTTCTGATCATTAACAACAACAACAACAACAGCAGCAACAGAAGCAGCAAATGTTAAGTGTTAAAATGAAGGTAAATGTGTATAATCGATCTTTTGTAGGAGTCTGTGTGTGTATGCATGGATTATACGTTAAGTTTTCTATCAAAATTCATAATTTCGAGGCGTGTACATGTCTCAAATGTATTCTCCCAGTCATTTTGTTATGAGAAGAAAAAAACGCCGATAGACGTGAACATTCTGCTGTTTATTCTGTACACTTTACACGTTTTCCAAAGAGAAGGGAATGAAAGGAAATCAAAGTGTTTCCGGTTTGGTTAAGGGTTTCTTTTTTTTCTGCCTGGATATTTACTTAAACATTCCCTGTAATTGGTTTGGTGCGTTTGTACAGGAACATGATCGGTGCTTGAGGACTATATGTTGTGTGTGAGTGAGTTTTTTTTTCTCATCAATGAAAAATTTTGATGCAAGAGATAAAATGCGGTGTTTACCGATAGCTCGGTTATTAATGAGCCTCAGTAGGTAGTCTATAATGTTCTAATTGAGAGTAGATGAAAACAGTTGTTCAACGCAAAAAACACGACATCGTCGTCGGTGTTTTTGTCGCCAGTGAAAAGGCAAGATTTATTTAAAAAAAACGGCTCCGCTCAATATGTTTTTCTATGCATTTTTCTCTTCTTTCATCTTAATTCCATTTCATCGTTGAGTGTGTATTTTTTTTCTTTCCTGGATGGATTTTTTCCTGACTCCTGATTATTTCTCTCTTGTGAATTTGGAATGAATGGGGAATTGAGTTTGTGTGTGATAATGTCGTGTCCTATGCGGGATGTGCTATATGTAATTTCCTTGCTTTGATTTCTTTCTCTCTCTCTCTCTCTCTCTCTCTCTCTCTCTCTCTCTCTCTCTCTCCTTCCTTCTCTTTCCGCTCTTGATTTTTCTTTGTTTTGTGATGCGCATAGGAGGATATAGATTTGGAAGGAGGAAAAGCAGCAACAACAACAACGAAAACAAAATCAACAAAATCGAAAGACCGATGACAACAACAACAGGCGTGGGAAAAATGTATACATACAGAAAAAGAAACCACAAGCTGCACCATCGTTGCTGCCTAAAAGGCACTAATTGATAATCAGGATGTAGATGTGTTGAATGGTAAGTGGAAACATGCATTTTTAAACATGGTACGCACATATACACGCACACAAACGCACTCAACACTCGCTCGAGAGGCTTTCGTTCACTCGATTTTGAAATCGTTTTTTTAGCTGCTGCAGTGAATTTGTGAACATGCAACCGAAAACCTAGAGCACAAAGTGAAATTGATATTCACATCAATTTAACACACGGAAAAAGAGAATTTCGTTCGAAGCGAATGAAAAAGGCAGCAGCAGCAGCAGCAATAAACACTGCACGCACACATACACCCGCTCACGTTTCACATTTTCCAACTACAACCGGCTGCTTTTGTATTTTAGGCGAGAGGAAATGCCGTAGACACAAATGAATTTCAAATGTGCAAATTGGGCTCATAGAAATTAACATTCATCATCTATCAAAGAGCGCAGCTTATGGCCAAAACAATTTGTTGCTTTAGTCCCTTTTTCAGAATAATCAACCACACCAAAAATGAAATGCAGAGAAATCTCTTTTATGATGATTTTTGTTGTTGGTTTCATTTGTTTGGTTTTGAGTCGGTGTTTGTATGTGGTAATATATGATCGTGTCCGTGTGTCGATGGTTCATGGTGCGTTTTGCTACAATAGCATAAATTTTAATTTTTTTTTCTTTCTTTAAATATTCAATTGAAGTAGTCGCTCATTTGGAATTGGAATTGCGTTTGCGATGAAACCAGTGAATTGTTAATGCCATCACGAATTACCATTGTTATTGCTCAAAAAGTGTTCATGCCATTCGATATGGAATGTTTTGTTGTTGTTTTACATGAATTTGGTGTTTCTTTTCTATTCTATATCTATCTCTGTCTCTCTCTCACATACAGTGTGTGTCGAGAGTATTGTTTAGTATTGATACATTTTTAGATTCAACTTATGATAAATTCTCAACGGAAGTTTCGCGCGTGCATCCGCAACAGCTTTGAAAAAAGCCAGCTGAATAATTAATTAACATCGAACAACAACAACAACAAAATATGATGATATTTAGTTGCAAACGAAACGCGCGGTGACAATCATTTCGCTACATCCAAATAAAATGAGTACATTTGCCATTTATATGTGAAAATTGTATTCACGGCATCATTGAACTCAAGTACGCGCTCTCTGATCCACTCTCATTCTTTGATGTTGACAAATAAAAACAAAACATTCCGTATTTCGAAATTCAATTCACTGATACTAAGAGCCAAATTTAGCAGCACTCATTTCAAACGTATGATATACCACACTTGATTAGGTCAATAAATGATTATATGTGTTATGATCGAATTTATGATCATCATCCCGTAGACGTAATCGGTTATTATCGATTCGTCGATATAAATTGCAAACTTACTTGTCCATGACAGCGATTGTAAAATTGAAATAGAAAACAAGTACACCAATCTAATTCATATTTGAGTGCCATGCAAAATTGACCCTAACATGAAGCTTTCTAGCATTCTCTCTCTCTCTCTCTCTCTCGCCCATTTCGTGTCTATGTGCAAATAATGAATTCATCGGTAGTTCTATTCTATATTTATGTGATTAACATCAACCTTTTCCATATCATGGTTTTGTCATATTAAATGCGGATGTACTTTCCGGCATCAAAGAACAATTCGCTGTTTCCGACATAGCCGACACAGTTTTTCCTGAGAGATACAGCACTCAACGAAAATGTACACCAATTCAATGGGCTTTTTTTGTTGTTGTTGCTACTGCTGTTGTTGTAATTCCCCCGCTTTTCCCGTATTTCTCATATAACAACATTTCGTATTAGAACCATTTGATAGAATTACGCATAATACAAAGCATATCAAATGCATTTGCTGCTGCTGCTGTTGCTGCGACAATCAAAATGATCATCACGGCTATCGAAAAAAATCCATTGTACACATTTCTCACATGCATACATCAAATATATATATATATATATTTAAAGTGATTTACAATGGGCTGAAAAATGTAAAAAAAGCCGGCAAACTCTATCCACTGAAACTATGAATGATTTTTGTAATGTGTTATCAGTTCCAAGTAAAGCAAAGCAAATAGCACAACATAATTGCCCAATAATTTCAATGAATGTATGGCGTTTGTTGCGTACTGCTGTTCTTTTTTCTCTCGTGGTGTCGCTCTCTATCGTTATAAATTAGTTGAAATTTTATTGAAGAAATGTTTTGAACTTTGACACATTATCACCTGGGATATGCCAATGTTGTTCGTATTGTTTTTACATATAAATAGACCTGTCGTCATTTAGCCTGAAAATTCTCCGACGCCAACCAATTATCGGTCAATATGCATGCAAAATGAAATTGATTTGGGTGAAAATTTCGCATCGATCGATCGGATTTCGTTTGAAAGCGAGCGAAAGAACGGAAAAAAGGCTGGTCGGCTGAATTTTGTGCTGTCGGTTTTTTCTTTCTACTTTTTTCTTATTCGCGTACATTTCGGGTTGGCGGAGCTGTTAATGAAAATTTTCACTGCTTTGCAAAATATTTTTCGTTATATTGTTGAATGAATAGATGTTGGTTTTGTTAAGCCGTACACATGCACAACAGATGCATATTTTAATGAAAGAATGAGTCTCGGTCCATGGAATAATACGGTATGGTGATATGCATATATATATATATATATATTTATTTGGCTTTGACAACAGAAAAACTCGAAAGTAGAGACAGCGAAATAGTGTGCGAGTGGAAGAGAGGACGTGTGCGTGCGTCTGTGATCATTAGATGACGGATGTTGGTGGGTGTTTTAAAGAGTTGCTTTCAATGAATTTTTTTTTCACACAGAATGCGAGCAAGAGAGAGATAGAAAGAATAAATTACTGCAAAGAATTCGGTGAACTAGATAGTACAGAATGAATGGTAATGCTGTTGCTATTGTAATACGAGCGAGAGACAAAAAAATACCCACCACACAAAACGTATACATTCGGCTTATTGCATAAGTATTTATTTCAGTTAAAATTATAATTATTGGCCATAATACTTATCAGTGTTGCTCTTTTTGTTGCTGAATAAATCCGCGGGCAAATGTGCTAGCCCAAGTGCGCGCGCACGCTTGCACGCTCATTCGCTCAAGCACATTAATTTCACACAAAAACGTCAATTCCTTTTATTTTCGTTATTCTATCTGTGTCGTATATAGATAGTGATTAAGTGATGTGCATTGTCTAAAAACCGAATTGTTCCTCCCTGATGCTGATTATCGCTGGAAATATGTTTATTATCGTCATCGTATTAATAGCTCGTTTATTACTGTTATTTTTGGAACCACAAATTATGGTCAATCTCTCTCACTGTCTCGCTCCCGCTCGCGCATTCGCATGCGACCAGTGTCGCCGATTCAAACGAATTCGCATTCAGATATCAAAATGAATGAATGAGTAAATTAAATACACATACAATGAATTAAATGATGAATAATATCTATAGCAAATACTCTCGGAACATCGCAGCGTACATATGTATATAAATACAACCGACAATATAAAGCAAAAAAAAAAATCAACAACATATATGTATGTACAACTGTACGCGAATCGCTGTCGGTTGGTATGGCGACGAAATAGGTCAATTTCAGCATTGATTCAGCAAATCATATGCCCCAATGAGCCAAACACGTGCAATTATTGTGTTTAGTAAATTTTTTCCCAAATCGTGCACAATTTTTACACTTATTGTGCCCAGAAACAAAATTTTATCTAAATAGGCCCGAAAATTGCAAAATTTTTGCACTTTTAGTGTTACATTTAGCATTACATTAAAATATGCATAAAATTCAAACATTTAGCATTACATGTGTTCATTGGGGCGCATCAATTCGAATTCTTCTAAAATGTTATTAATGTAAATAGCCTCTTGAGTTTTGAATTATTGTTTTCATCCTGTCTCTTTTGACAATTTATTAAATACCATCACTAACACCACCGCCGCCGCCGCCGCCGCCACCACTACTACCATCACAACCAAAAGGAATGAATATGCATTTATATGAGAAGGAAATAATATCAGGCTAAAGAAGAATTGGCGGGAATGCAATTTTTCGCAATACTTGTACAGTGTGCAAAAAAAGTTTTCGGCCACTTAGAAAAAATTTATATTTTCGGTTTTTTTCGTGTTATAAATGATAAACACCGAACTATTTTCTATCAATTCGTTAAGTTTATAATCTGGTCTTATAAATTCAGGCCAATTCCGGAAATATTTAACATGATTTTTGCATTTTCTGTAGCCATGTTTATTGAGAGGTCGAAATTGTGCGCAAAGAAAGTATTCGGCCAAACCGATTTATTTGAGAATTTCTACGACAATTGTTATGAAATATGAACACAGACGATGTGAAAAACGATGAATTACTAACGTTTTCAGTGATTTCAAGCCATTTCACGAGTTTTCAAACATTTTGTGTCAGCTGCAGGGTGAAATTTGGCCGAATGGTAGTGGCGCCGGCCAAGCGAAGATCTGACGCCACTAGAAACTAATTTTTTGTGATAAATCTTCATGTTGAGCTATATGATCGTGAAATAGCATAAGTATTTAACAAAAATCAATGAAAACAATAAAAAATTTCTGAGAAATTTGCGAAAATTAGGCCAAAATATGGCCAATGACTAGCGTTTGGCGGCTCTTTATTCACGAAAGCGGCCATTTTTCGGAGACGTCGGAATTAGTTTATGTTCAAATTGATAGTTATAATATGAATTAGGTCTTATTCTATAATTTTAATACAGTTTTAACCATTTCTAAAAAAGCTTAACATGTAGAGAGACCACTTTATAGTCCATGAACAAAAATTGGCAATAATTAGAAATGGAAGGCATATGAAGTTCAGACTATTTTCACTCCTTAGTGGTACACCGTTAAATTTATGATTAAACAAGATTGAAAATGAAGTAGTTCATAGGAATTAGCATGATGATATGCACAAATCCAATTTTTTTAAATCAAAAATTGTCATAAAGAGAAAACCAAACTTTTCATCAGTTGCCAATTTTTGTTCATGGACTATTTAGTGGTCTCTCTACATGTTAAAATTTGTTAGAAATGGTTGAAACTAAATTAAAGTTCTATAACTTCTATAAGACCTAATTCATACTATAACTATCAATTTGAACATAAACTAATTCCGACGTCTCCGAAAAATGGCCGCTTTCGTGAATAAAGAGCCGCCAAACGCTAGTCATTGGCCATATTTTGGCCTAATTTTCGCAAATTTCTCAGAAATTTTTTATTGTTTTCATTGATTTTTGTTAAATACTTATGCTATTTCACGATCATATAGCTCAACATGAAGATTTATCACAGAAAATTAGTTTCTAGTGGCGTTAGATCTTCGCTTGGCCGGCGCCACTACCATTCGGCCAAATTTCACCCTGCAGCTGACACAAAATGTTTGAAAACTCGTGAAATGGCTTGAAATCACTGAAAACGTTAGTAATTCATCGTTTCACATCGTCTGTGTTCATATTTCATAACAATTGACGTAGAAATTCTCAAATAAATCGGTTTGGCCGAATACTTTCTTTGCGCACAATTTCGACCTCTCAATAAACATGGCTACAGAAAATGCAAAAATCATGTTAAATATTTCCGGAATTGGCCTGAATTTATAAGAACAGATTATAAACTTAACGAATTGATAGAAAATAGTTCGGTGTTTATCATTTATAACACGAAAAAAACCGAAAATATAAATTTTTTCTAAGTGGCCGAAAACTTTTTTTGCACACTGTATATATAGGTAAGTAAAATGAACGGCACAATGTCTGACTCCAATAAGTGCATATAACATTTTCAGATCATCATTTGAATCATTGCATCGAATGGATGTGTTTACAAAATAAATCAACACCCACGACGAAAGCGAAACACTTTCTTAAATTTATGTATGCAATACACGAAATTTATCGCTGCAACAACAACAACAGCCGCGCGTACGTCAGAACAAACAAGCAACAAAACAGAGAAGAGTGAAAAAACACAGGGATAATCAAATGAAAATTGCATCGCAAAAAAAAATACTTTTATTTCTAATTATCGACTTTGTTACGAAGTAAATTTTTTAATTGCAATTTTATAGCCGCATATTCTTTGCGATTTGCCAAATTCAAATTCTCCTCTCCATCAATGGAATGATCATACAATTCTTCGCCGTAATGTTTATGCCAATCTGAAAATGGAAACGAAAAAGTAACAAAAATGAAGTAAACATTTCGAGAGAGAAAAATGTGAAAGAAAAGCAAACAATTCAACAACTCACTTCGTTTGAAATGTTTCGAATCGAATTTCAGCCAAATGGTGTAACGAAAATCGGTTGTTCGCAATGAATAGCCCATGATTTTTATGTATTTCAGACGTGGCTTATCACTGTCCGGAAGTTGCGTCGGAAAAACGCCAGGTCGAGGATATTGACTGATTGCAAACTGAGCCCACGATGTGTTTAATGGCATTCCAGCTGAGAAGTAACGAGCCAGACTCTTACCTTCGGTGCATGTCGACTGCTTGAAATGACTTTTCCTGCATGACTGTTTATTTTTTGTTTTATTTTTATTTCAAGTTTTTTTTCTTTGTTATTATCAATTTTGTGTCTGAAAACAGAAACACGTTTAAGAAAAAAAAAACAATAGAATTTCGAGATACGTTACCTTTATTCCGGGCAATGTCGCCAAATCGACGAGCGTCGGAAATATGTCGACAAGTTCAGCAAATTCATTGACTTTTAACATTTTCGATAATGGGTGTGCCGGCGAATATATGATCAATGGCACACGTACACCAATTTCAAAATTTGTATATTTCGCCCATTCAGCGTGTTCGCCCAACGAATACCCATGATCGCTCGTCAATGCGATGATTGTATTTGAAAAGTCCACACTTTTCAGTAAATCACCGATCAAATCGTCAACATATGTTACAGCTGTATAGTAGGCCTGTCGAATGTGATATGCGAACGTCTTCTCCATCGGACCAAACGGAAACGATATGTTCAACTTTTGAACATCGTCTCGCAACCGTATATCGTTGTATGGGTTAAAGGCGACAGTCGGCAAATTGTATGGCACATGAATGAAATCGTTTTTGTGGAATTTATCAATGGAGTGATAACGTAAGTATTTACTGGGAAAACGGAATGGAATATGCGGCTTATGCAGGCCAATCGCTATGAAATACGGTGCCGGTGCTTTATTCACGCTTATGGTGTTTAATAAACGTTTTGCTTCAGCAATTGACTGAATGTCGGGCAAAGTGTGCTCAGGTTGACTTTTCACATTTATCGGACAGACGAGATTTGTTTGCAATTTTTTCGTTGTCTTATCAAAGCAGACGGCATCATTCATATACTGTTCGGTGGATGGATGAAACGTTTCATTGGACCAGCTCAACGGAAAGTCATCATTGAAATTGCTTGAAGCGCCTGGATGAAATACTTTGCCAATTGAAAATGTTTCGTATCCGTGATCCTTAAAATATTGTGGTATCGTCGTAAAATTGCCCACAGACCTGCGCCAGTAGCTGTAAAAATCGTACAGATGAGTAGTATCCGGTCTTCGACTTGTTAACATTGAGTTTCGACTTGGTGCGCACAAGGCTTGCTGCGGATATGTTGTTAATGTTTTTTTTTGTTGGTTTAGTTTTGTTTCTTTGTACATTTTCATTTTGCTTATGTTTCATATTTCTTCTAACAAAAGTGTGTGTTTGTGTGTGTGTCATCATCAACGACTCAGGTAGAGTGTATGACGAATGTGTATATTGTTGTTGTTGTTATGTTATTTTGGTTTTATTTCTGTTACCTGTGCATAGGTTCGTTGAAATAGCGCACTTTTCTTAGCCAATCGGTCTATGTTCGGTGTAACGGCGAGCAAATCGTCATAACAACCTAACGAGGGACGTAAATCATCAACAATTATAAACAGAACATTTTTCTTACTGGCATTTGTTGAATGAGCACAAGATGTGAATGTAGCAAACTGTAGAAGAAATAACAGCCGCATCAGCAACGGTGTCAGTATCATTTGCGAGGCATTAAACATCGTTCACTGTATTTTTCTCTCTCTCTCTCTCTCTTTTTTGTCTCTCTGTCCCTTTCTATCGAAAAATCAAATGAAGCAAAAACGAATGGATGATGTGAGTAAAGAAAAAAAGAATTAGATAATTGCCGATTTCTTGCTTTGCCTTCGCTATTGAGTGTGTGTGCAATGTGAAACAGTTTGTTGTGACTTCATATACGCAACTCAGAATTTACGACGAGAAACGACACCAACACCATCAAAGCACTCGGCGAAAAAAAGCATTGAACCGTCCGATAGTACTCATTCATTCATTCAAATTCTAAAAATAGGATGGAAGACATTTTTGTTGTCTGTCATTTTTCCTTAGCGGCCAATGCACACGAACGATGTCGATAGGGACACATGTCCCAAGTACTAATGTGTCAGACAACACTTGTGCTCTTGTTTTCATAATGCATCGTATCACATGCAAGTGTCTCCGTCTTTAGGATCATTCGTGAAACACATTTGAAAACAACTTGTTCTGTCGCGCTCCATCTTCGATGTCGTACACTGATTTTTTGTGTTATTTTTCGTTGCTTTGGCAATTCGCTTTTCCTAACGTGCATCTTTGTCAGCAATCCAATTCAACAACCATGAAAATCGTTCCATTTTTACATCAAACTTGTCGTAATTCAATATATCCACAAAGTAACGTACGCCGATTCCCAGTGCCAGACCATTTGATTGCTTGGATTGAAAAATATGACGAATACAAGCCAGAATTCTATGAATCACCGGGACTTATCGGCAAACCATGGGCCGATCCATCAATCAGTGAGTACAATTAATATTGACATCAATACTCATCAACAATGTAAAATTCTTTGGAAACAATATCACAACAGATGATGTCGACTTTCATCCAAAATGGAACGCAATCGATGGTAAAATTGATCGCACTACATTCCATGGCAAATATGAAATTCGGGACAATTATCCATTGAATGTGGCCGGTCGCACTGGAATTACGGGCAGAGGATTGTTGGGCCGTTGGGGTGTCAATCATGCAGCCGATCCAATTGTTACCAGGTACGAATGAATGACATTTATATCATTTTGCGTTGCAAATTACAATGTACAACACTTTTGATTTCATATCAATTCAGATGGAAACGAAATGTCGACGGGACAATCGTAGAGAATGTATCATCGGGAAAGTAATAAAAATAGAACACGATAAGAAATGTATTGATATAAAGCCGAAATGATTAATACTTGGTTTGATTTTCAGAAATATACTACAAATGGTGGCCATTCAACGACGCGATAATCACCAGTGGGCAATACCGGGTGGAATGGTTGATGCTGGCGAAAAGGCAACCGCTACCTTAAAACGTGAATTCATTGAAGAGGCCATGAACAGCAACAAGAGTAAAGTCAAGAACCGCTTACCTTTTTTAAAACTTTCTATAATGAATTTTCTTCTTGCAGCTCATGAAATTGAACAATTTTTCGATGAGAAAGGAATCGAGGTTTATTCTGGTTATGTTGATGGTAATTATGGTTTATTGCACTAGATTTCAATGGGGTGTGCAAATTCTATAGCCGTCATGTTATTTCTTCTAATTTTATACATTCTTAGATCCTCGAAACACCGATAATGCCTGGATGGAAACGACAGCGTACAATTTCCACGACGATTCCGGCGACACATTAAATCACATCAAATTTGAAGCGGGCGATGATGCTGGCAGCGTCAAATGGCTGGATGTAGATGAGCGTAATAAATTGTATGCCAGCCATCAAGACATTGTAAAAAGAGTGGCCACACGTTTAAATGCCCATTGGTAGATTATAAATCATATTCCATAAGGGACTAAAAAAACCAAACAAACAATTGTGATTGAAATAATTATTTTTATTTTATTATTATTTGTTTCAATATGAAGTTACAGAACATTATTTGATTTCTAAATCTATATTTCATTGTCAAATAAACCATCAAATACTATCTCAAATCGCATTTAAATGATCTCTTCCAACTCTTTAACTGAATGCATTAAACGTTTTTTTTCTCTCTTAAATTTCACATCGATTCAGTGGTAATAGAGGGAAAAACGATGAAGCATTTTAACAGGACATTTTTTTTTCTTGTTTACGCTATATTTGATGTCGAATGGGAATTCGCAACCAATAACAATTGCCTAGGTACTAAATGGGAACAAAAATCATTTTTGGTCACACTCTTGTGAGAATAAACTCACAATTACTTCTTCTTCTTTTTTTTTACTCAAACTTGTCCATTTTTTTCAATTTCCAAACAGAATAAAATATTTATTGGTTGATCGACCTTTTTCCACTCGACTGAACATGTTAACTAAATGTACCGAATAATAATCTTAATTGAAAAATTTAATTTCTGCAGAACAAAAAGCAATCATTAAATGACGATGTTTTATTTTTTGAGTTCAACATATAAAATAAATAAGTAGGTGCAATAAAAAAACTGGCAAAAAAAATTCCTTGTAAATTTCATCAAATGAACTGAGAAAAGAAAAATATCACAAACTTTTATTTTAACAAAACGAAATAAAATAGAAATATATGTATATGTATATGTATAAATGTGTATAGTGTATATCATAAAAAAAAAGAAGAAAATAATGCACGAGACAAAAAAAAAACGTGTGTTCGAGCATTAAGCAAACGCTAACAAGAGTTAGTAGTCATATACAGTATTTCAAACACTCTTTTGACTATAAAAAAGATATAAAAAGAACCAATTGAATTTAGTTGTTGTTGTTTTTTTGTGTAAATTGTAGTTCTTATGTCTAATTTTAAATTTGTTTTTATAGCTTTAGCTAAAGATGAACTAGGATCTTAGCCCGTTATTTTGTGATTCGTTTGACTGTTGTCCGTTCTCTTTCTTTTAATTTTTGGTTTTCAATCTAAAAAAAACACTAATTCTTCTTCTTCTCTTTCGGTTGTGATGACTTGAGGCGCTATTTCGTTTACGCATTTCTTGTTTCTATTATCTAGTAAACAAGCAGTTGGTTTTTGTACATGGTTCTGTCCATTAAAATCTGGTTATGTATACTTTTTGGTTTATTTGTTTGTTTTGTTCGTGTGGTGTTCAGCCAGTCGCATGTTTTTGTCCGACTAATTCCCAAAAATCAATCAAATCGATACTTGTGCATTTGTTCCCCTTCATTCTCTGTCTTTCACTCTTTCACTTTCTCGTTTACTCGCAACCGTTTGCATTCGCTTAAAAATTACAAATTACTTTTTTGGTATGCGTCTCGGTTCGTCGTCATCACTGTGCTCCTCTTGCAGTAGCAATGAGTCGGGATGTCGTACGGCGCCCGGTTTTTTATTGCGTTGCCAAGTGAACACTTTGGCCAGTTGCATGAATTTCTTGCGCGATCGTTTGCCCATGTGTTTTAATCGCTCTGTAAACACTAAATCCTCAACGTTACGTCCTTTCTCTTGTTGCTCCTTCTCTAATGCTAACATGAATTCTTGATTCCATCGCAATTCATTCATAAACTCCTCATTTTGTAGCATTATAGCGAATTGTTCGTCGGGAATGTCGAAGTCCGTGCGATTCTATGCGAATTAAATTCGATTAAAATTCAGTAAATGAAAAACGCTAGAGATGCAGTGCATGTCATTTGCATCGGCGGAATACTTACTTCGTTTGGTGTTAATCTTAAAAAGGATGGCGGCAATGGACACAATAATGGTGGATCCCATCTGTTTGTATTGGATTTAATGGGTCGAGCGCTACCGGATGATGTGGCCGCTGCCGAAATCGATGGACATTTCACTTTTGGCGACGCACCAGTTACTCGGTTCGTTGATGTCGACACATTTGTTGAGCTAAGCGGTACAATTAAATCCTCTTCTACAATTCCCGATTTATTTTGCACTCTCTGTGACGGTGAGGCACTTTGCTCCAATTCATTACGAAGTTTTTCGTTCTGAAAAAAAGAAAAAAAAAATGAAACCAAATCGAAACGATGTGTTTTCTGTTCTTGTTGTTGGATGTGTCGTAACAAGATTGAAAAAAAGGGGCTGATAACAAACCTGATTATCGGTTGACATCGCTAACAGTTGATCGATGGTCGCATCGACGGCTCCCTGATTCGCACGTAGCACAGCCTCAATCACATCTCGTTCCATATCAGGAAACATTGTCTTAAAATCGGACATTGCTTGCGCAAATTCCAATTGCAACGTTGATGCCATTTCTTATTTTCTTATTGGGCAAATAGGTTAGAGAAAAATGGTATTCACTCACAAATGCAACCACACACAAAAATAGATTTTCGAATCAAATCGAAAATGAAAGCAACGGAGAAAGAAAAACAGTTGAAAGGAAAAACAACGACGCAGAAACAGAAATATTAAATCACGATCAAATTGCGAATGTTTCTTTAATCAGACAATTAATGACACTGGCCATAACAGAACAACAAAATCATATGGCAAACTCGGGAGGCTGTGTCTGATTCGATTGGTGGTGTAAACAATTGGGCGTTTGAATGAAGAAAAAAAAAACAGAAATTTCACACTTTGTTTACGTGAGATTTGTATTTGCAGTGGTTTCTTGTCTTTTGGTTTCGTTTCAAATTCGCAAACAAAACAATACACGATTTGCTGCCGTGAGATTCAAATGGCGATTTATTTCGTGTCAACGAATTGACATCCGTTCAAAGTGATTGCAAGTTGATTTCCATTTTAATTACCGAATAAACGAAATTGTCTATGTAATCATGAACTTGTTCTTCGTGCACCGCAGACAGCCATGACTACTGATGTGTGTTTCGTTTTTTTTCGCTTCTTTTTTTTGTTGTATTGTGTGTCCCTTTTTCTGAATGAATATATAAAATTTATCACACAAAATTACGGGCTCAACGCAATTGACAGCTGTTTTGTGCTTTTGCAATTGGTTACTCCGACAATGAAAGCTTACTCAGACGATGAGTGCGTCCAATGTGCCACACACACACACACACACACACACACATCAAATACAATCTCGCGCGCATTTTTCAAAATCGAACCATTGATACAGTGGTTTATCGCAGACTAAATTATTACTTACGTAAATTTTCGTACAGCATGGACAGAATTCGTGGCGGTGAGTTTGGACGATGATTTTGCATGAATTTCAAATGAACTAATTTATTTTAATATTTATTCAATGTTTCAGAATGCATTAATTTGCACTTACAATTTTTGTTTTCTTTATTTTTGCATATTTCACGTGCTCAATTCATAAATAAATAAAATGTTTGAGACAAAAGAAAAAAATAAAAAAGAGACACAATTCGAGAAGATGCTTGTTTGTTTTAAGTGAGTGAATATTTCTTTTTTTAGTTTTTTTTTTGATCTTTTTGTGTGTATCCTTATATGCTATAAATAAATGTATACTGCTGTGGTAATTAACGTACAATATAAATACATTTTTATAAATTCATTCAACAATTACAAAATGAAATGTGCCTGTGAACATTATCGCCGAACATTTATTGGTTTTTATCTCTTTAATTATGCGATTACGTTATCTATGATTACTGAAGAGTATGTATAGGGAAAGAGAGAGAGAGAGGGATGAGTTTTGAAGTCCACATTGATTCGCCAAAAAAAAAATATTGGTATTCACGTGATCATCATAAAGTAGATTATGCCAAAACGATTTGATTTTTCAATTAAGATGTTGTTGTTGTTGCTGCTTGTTTGTGAGTAGTAAAATATAATTTGGCGATAAATGTATTTGGATTGCCGTTGATGTTTGTTCGCGGTCAACATCCAAATTCTCAACAATTCAAAGGCTGCATCAGATTTTAATATTTTTGATTGTAAGTATCTCGTTTACGGCCCATGTTACAGATCTTAAAGTGGCAGATTGTCATATCTAAAATGATTTTGAGGGGGGGGGGGGGTTAATTACAATTAACCACAAAATTCTCCAAGTTTTTTCATTTGTTATTTTTTTGTAATTGCAAGATTTCAAGTCTTTAGATATGATTTTTTTGAGCGAAACATAATCTCACGAATTAAAAAGTTTTGAGTAGAACAGAAAGACTTACGGTAATGTGAACCACTTTTCTTGTATAATGGCCCTTTAGGATCATCATTGGTCAATGCCTGTGCAACTGGTAATGGTTCTGATTCTGGGTATTCGATGGCTTTTAATTCGTCCACTCGGTTATTGCTCATCTCTTCGTGTGATGGTTTCTCGTAAACATGTACATAGCCTGGAACTGGTGGAGCCTGTTCCAGATCAAGCATTGGATATGGCCATCCTTCCATGTAACGCTGGTATTCTTCATATGTCTACAAATGAATGGGCAAAATCATGGCAAAATCGATAAATTTCGATAAAAACAAAAACTAATTTGAAATTGAATGAGAAATCGATTTAAAAAAAATATCAGAAAAAAGGTAATATTTACAAAGACCAAAGTCTTAAACTCAAATATAGAATTAAAATTAACTGCAATTGAAGCAAGAAGAGTAAAAAAATAAAGGATTTCAAGAAAAAGAGACTTACCATTTTATTTTGTAATCGTTCGGCTTCCATGTTTTTCAGCATTTCAGCTGGCAGCATGGATGCTGAGCGCGCAACGACAATGCGAGCATTTACAATCATTGCAAATGCTATTGTCAAAACGATGGTGAGGTGTGCGGACATCTTCAATCGAACTGAAAGAATCAAATCACAACCATAATTAAGATTAAACTAAGAATGTATAAATGTGTGAAGGAGTCGGGAATGGAGATGTGTGTGTGTGTGTGTGTGTGTGTGTGTTTGCTAGTGTCTGTCGTTAGTAAAATCGTTATAGCTCAAAATAACACCAGTAAGAAAAAGGGATGGAGTATAAACGAACGAAAATGATTAGGAGGTTGGGAAAATGTGCATAAATGTGAACCCATTAGAGCGCACACACTATCTGCATTCGAATCGGAAAATAAAACGAGAGAATTATGACAATTTCTGCGGCAAATCATCCGTACACACATTCAATGTAGGACGACGATAATTCACAATAACAATAACAAAAATCTAATAATCATATTCCACTTTAACGATCATCTAACGGTCTTTTGCAATGCGTTCGAAAAGAAATAAGAAACAATCGAACGAACGAACGAACGAACAGCTTGTTCCGACGTCGTTATTACGACATCTTTTCTAACACGCTCACTAATGTGCGCGTCGTTTCGAAACATTACGTCTATAGCGTGTAATGATTTCACGTACTTTCTAGATTTAATCACAACTCAGATTGATGTACGAGCGTATTATATTTGTTTCTTGTCGAGTGCAAGGATTATAAACGACATCAATCGCTTGTTATCAGCAAATTAAATGGACTCTCTTCTCAATGCCATTTCGGGTTATGTTTTGAAAAATTAAAATGACTTGCAATAACACACTGTGCAACAACTGCGCGCGCCAATTTGTACTCATTCATAAAATAAATTTCCATTAAAAATTAAATGCATCGATTGGTGTTAGAAACGGCGAAAAAAAAAATAAACGCCAATATGATGAAACATCCAAAATCCCCAAGTGTCTAGAATCTAATCATTGCGGTTATTGCTCTACAGCAGTAGCATAGTTGTTACTGGGAATTATATGTCAATGTTGTGTAAACAAAAACGTTTTTTTTTTGTTCGCGGGAAATTATTTTTTTTTTTCGTTTAAAGAGTCAAAGAGTACACAGGTCACTATGCAATAAAATAGCAGAACAAAAATTCATTCACTTATCAGAATGGAGAGAAGAAAAAAAAGATGTTGCGAAAAAAGGTATGTCTTTTCGATAGAAGTATGGAAAAATCCACAGAATTCGGAAAGAGCGGTTGAGTGAACGTTGCCGAGCATTCTAGACACTTGAGTACCGATGACGATGCAACAAATGATTGAATCGTATGTTTTATTTGCTACGATTTGATCAAAGTGTGTGGTGGTCGCGATTACAAACTTCGAACAAAATCAAGCAATTCATTTATCATGTGAATAAACAACGAACGAAGAAAAAAAAATCGAATGACCATTTCGATTAGGATAGTAATGTGCGAGAAAGAGAAATTCTGTCTGCCCAGAATTGTGCCAATTGTGGGGCAAAGGAAAATGAACGATAATTACACATACCACAAACAAATAATGAATATCGTTCGACGTCTATGGAATCTAATTAAAATTAATTTTAGCGATGAAATAATTTCAATTTCTTCGTCACTTTGTATATGTATTGAGCTTTGATCGTCGCAATGTTAATCGAGTTGACACTTGTTTTAATCGTTACAGCAAGGAATAATGACGCGTTCGCTGAGAAATTGCCTTTATTCAAAAATGAACAGTGGAAAAAAAGCGAAGCTCTTGATTCACGGGGAAAATCGCACTTTGATTTTGAAACTTTTCTATAACGTTGTATAATTGTTTGGCGCGCGAGAGTCTGTATACAGCACTTGTTCGACGTTGTTCAAGGGTCGAATGCAAATGAAGCATGTCAGGAGTTCGAGTGCGCTTTTATAGCAACAGGTAAACGGATTGGATACAATGGAAATGGAGCATTGTATAAGTTAGAATTGGATGAAATGAAGAAAAAAAACAACGAATTAAACAGTACAACAATTCGTACGTAGCGGTATTCTGGGCTGTCATAGCCAACATGACATTCTATAGTACGTCATGTATTTTACCAGGTTCTTCTTTGTCACTAAACGAAAAAAAAAACTGAAAACAAAACGATCCGACTAATTGAAAAACAAAACGTCGAGAAAATTCGAATTTTACATTTGTCAACCTTTGCAATTGCGATTGAAAGTGCATTGCGAAACGTAATTGTAAGACAATAGAATTATACTCACGTTCCAGAGAATGCGGGATATCCTCAAAAATTGCGGTATGAAATATTTTCCTTTGGGTGATTTCGATGCAGTTTTGTTCCTTTATTTCGTAAGGTAATTAAAACACCGATGCGTACTAATCGTTCTATGGTTTGTTTTTCCTCTTCTTTTTCTTCCCTTTTCTTCTCGATAATTTTCATAAATAAACAAAACACTAGCCAACTACGCGTGATTCTTTGTCGATTCGTTTACTAGTTTTTTTTCTTCTTCTCTCAAAACGTTGTATAGAGAGCACGTTTCGATTCGTATAGTTTTGTTTGACAAAACGTTGAATATATATATATGTCCAAAGGAATAATGTGTGCGCTTCACTCAAAATATGGTTTACAATTGAGTCATTGATCACACATTTGCAAATATTTATAGGAGGAGCGGTTTTCGCATCGCATTCGTATCAATCAATGGCGTGAGATTGCGTTTACCAATTTTGTTAAAAGATTTCTCACACAAACATTTAACTCAAGTATTTAGCATCACAAGTCAATACATTATCAGTTGAGCAGATATACGCGCGCGGCACACAGGCTCTCACTCCTAATTGGATGAGGATGTGAGCGAGATGCGAGAAAGACACGAACAAAAAACAACTTATGTTTGTGCGACATTTGATTGCTTATATTTAATCGTGTATTTGTTTGAATCAACTGTGTACTAACAACAACAAATGCAATCCTTTTGTTTTTCTTGCCTTTTTTTTCCTTGTCCGTTTCCGTTGGCAAGATAGAGAGCGATGAACAGATGCAAATGAGTCAGAACAAAGAAAAGTCATTCAGTATTGATTCGTTTTGGGTTAGTTTGGATGGATCAGCCAGGGGTGTGATAATACATGTACATAGGATCTCAATCATTTCCATTGACTAGTTTCGTCAAAAGAATATTACCGAGATATTTAATGAGAATATTCAACTTCTTCTTCTGCTTTCTCTCTTTCTCGTATACCATTGATAATTCTTGGAGAGTTCTCTTTTTTTTTCATCGTACCCATTATAAAAATATAAACACCGCATCGATGCGAGATAACGTAAGCAATATTCTCAATCAACTGGTAAATATAATTATGATGCGGCCCAATGCCGAATCTTATACACACCATTTTTTGTGTCTTCTTTTTTTTCGTTCTCTCTTAAAATGTTGCCTGTTTTGTCATCTCACTCTCTGGTCTTCCTTTATCATATGCAAATGACGAGCACTTACCTTATCACAAATCGTATTTTAATAACGCAATATATCTTCACCCCGTCGACTTGTCGAAATCTGAAGAGAAAAAATAAATCAAATATGAATTGCGGCGAAATTAGTTTGGCGATAATGAGAGTTCCATACCATCAACAGAAACAACAACAGTAATCAAAAAGGAAATCGTCGTAAATCTGATTTTTTTGACTATTTACTACAACTACTAGTGGTTTTACTAGTAGAAAAATTTCATTGTTGAAAGTCATATCAATTAATGAGTTGTATTTTCGCGGCTGTTTTGGGCTTCTCTCCCAATTTCCGTTGAGAGTAGTGTTTTTTTTGCTGATCGTGCTGTGGCCGTTATTGTTGTTGTCGCTGCCGCCGCAAAACGAAATGGAGATGAAAAGTCACGATCACTTTCCGTAAAAAACGTGCCCATGCGTTTCACGTTCTTATAGGGCAAACGCATATGAAAAAAATGAAGAATAATTGTGAACTTTACATATGTGCATTAATTATGTCTGTAGTTGATTAAATTCGCTCTCTCTCTCTCTCTCTCCCTCTCTTCTACGACGAATCACTTTTGTGTACTGTGCACACGAGTCATGTCGTTGGCCTCAATCAGTTATATAACCGATATATAAACCATACATTTTTTTTTCTCTTTCTCTCTCTCTCTCTCTCTCTCTCTCTCGCTGTTTTCAATATGAAACCATTTTTGTTCAATATCAATTCGCAAATTGTTCGTAGTCTCATGTCAAAATTCAAGGTTATTTTGGGAATTATTCACCACTATGTGATTGAGTGTGTTTGTGTTTTTGTTTTAAATTTTATTTTCGAGAAATGTTGAGGAGAAGAGCGCGCATAAAAACTAAAATGGCGCCATAAACGAAAAGTACTGCATTTAATTCGGCATAACGAAGGCTATCGTGACAGATCATAAAGGACACACTCAATCACACAATGATAAGAGAAAATGATGATGAATGACATCTCCACGATATGAATTTGTTGATGCGTATATACATATGTCTCTCAGTCGATCAATGCGCGGATGTGTGTGCGTGTATTTCCAAACATACGAAGTACAAATTGGTAGCTTGATCAAGCGTGTCCAATTTTGGGCAAATGAAAGGCGCCGCAATGGCTGTTATGTCGAATCGCCATCAAGCCATCATTTCATTTAATTTAAAATGATGCTCAATTGGCCACACACTGAAAACTGACTGGTATGCAGTTCGTCGTCGTGTGAAGCGTACATTCCACATCAAATCAATTCAATCGTTCAATGGATCGAAATGAACGAAAATAAATTCGGTTTATTGGATGCTCATTTGGCGGTCTACGATGTGCATTGTGCACATCCTTAATTGCACCAAACAAATACCGCAGTTAAATTAACACAGCCACGAGCCGACGCTTCTTCTTCTCTCTTTATCTCCACCCCTCTCATTGACTCATTGAACTACTTGAAATCATACCCCACACGAAACATCTATCTCTGCTTCTATCAAGACCCGAACGAGACAAAAAAAAGAGTCGTTTTACGTAATCACTAGAAATAAAGTACGACAACAATTCATAAGCGCATCACACCGGAATCACAGCACAACAGGAAAAATTTGCTCGCTCATTGACTAATATTAAATTAACTTGGTCAATGAATTGAATTTTTTGATTTATTTTATGCTATTGTTTCATAGAAGAAGTAATTGACCGAGAATCAAATAAAAATTGTCTTCAATTTGTGACTATTTTGTATATTTCTCTCTGTCCCGTTCGAATAATCGGCATGAATCATGACCCAATCCTTGAAAGTAACAAAAAAATGCGTATTTGTGATTCATGACGACAAAAAAACGCATATTTTCAAGACACATTCAAATACTTTATCGTGACACTATGCACTTTGATTTTGATTTAAGAGAATAAACACGAATTTTGATACTATGAGAAAAAATACGAGGCACACATGACGAAAAAAAAAATACGCATCAATTGTTGATCAATAGAAAAGACATAAATCAAAGCGATTTGCGTCTCAATCAATGAATCGAAGTCATCATCGTAGTTGTTGTCGTTGTTGCCTAGATGCGTCACACCATGCATAAACATGACTTGAAAAATAAAAATAAGTATTTGTGCAGAACGTGATCACTCGATAGAATCGGCTATCCACATATCATTCACTGATTTTTCGAATGAAAATCGCACCACATCTCGTTTCCACGTTTACAATTGCAAAAATAGATCAATCACATGATCCCACGTAATTTTACTATGTAAGCGCCTGCATAATGCACCCGCTTCGCGTGCATTAGCATACACACATACATATATGCGTCGGCAAGCCCCTCAAACATTGTTGCATCGTGTGTCCTTGCATAAGAATAAAAGAATATTGCAAATTGAATTCGAAATGGTCACTCATTGACTCATTGTTTTCGATTCGTTAAACAAATTCGATCATACACATCGTGCTTTAACATCCGAATCAATTGAGTCGAAAAGGAATATGGAAGAAAAAGGCGACGATGAAATTAATTGGTTTAATTGGTTTGCTTTGATACGACCAAAACAAATTCATAGAAACGAAAGCGGATTCTGTTTCCACTTGTCGCATTCTGCGTTTGGAATGGAAGTTTTTGAGCCGAACGCCTGACAACCAATAACTTACGGTCAATTAAAATGTTTCGTGTATCGATTCGATTATAATGTGTGTGTGTGTGTAGTTTTTTTTTATTCATCGATGTAGCATTGATTTGGAGCATAATTTCATTTGGATGTCGCTTGAAAATTGTAATCAATCTATTTATAGGGGTTTTGGTTCGATACACGTAATACGATGTGTATTACTAATACATTGCTTTGTGGAATCTTAAAATTGACGATTTATCATACGATCGCATATTTGACAATCAAATTAATTGATTTCTCGAAAAAACACTGGTGACGAATTGGCTGTCGTTATATTGGTTGTTCCAAAGCAAGTATGAGCACATAGCAATTTCCAGACAATCATTGTTGTTTCGTCACTCTTGCAAAAAAAACATTTTTGAACGAAGATAGAGATTGTAAACCGTAAAAAAAAATTAGTTCTCTGACAGTTTTACAGTTGTTAGCTCATTAAAAATTGCACGTGTTATCCTGATTTGCACGTGGCCTATTGCTTTTTAATTGACAACTTGGTTAATTTTCTAGAATCGAATTTTTCTTGAACTTTCCATCCGCGGTTGACCTATACTGAACCTTCAGCTCAATTTTTTTTTTCCACTCGTCAAGCTGCAAAAGGAAGTCGAAATCAGAATTTTTCGACACATTGAATTGAAATCTGAATGAAATTTACACACATAAAAAAAGAACGGCGACGCTTTACGCGACGAGTCGATGGCAGGAAAAAAATATGATTGATTTGTGCGCACAGTGTCAAATGTAATCTCGCTATCAGCATAAGGAGGTAGGTAAAGCTTAAACTGATACCCAGCCATAATTCCATTGAACGATAAGGCCGCATTGAAATAGATGCACTGCGGTGATATTTTCTTTTCTTTTTTAGAATGGCCGGCTCTCATGCGGACTGGTAAATGACATTTCGATTGATCATTCATTTTATTTTTCTCACACATTTAAAATACGTATAAAACGTAGACGTTACAAATCAGAGTCAAACTTGCTAAATATCTGTCAATTCATGAATTTTTTTTCACCACAATTCATCTAATCGAGAGAGAAATAAATAAGCGCTTGCTTCATACGAATATTTTTCAGTCTTTTCTGTTTCATTAAGAGATAATACAGAAATAAAATTAATTTGTAAGGCATCATCATCACGTAAAGGAGCAAACGAAAAAAAAAATCTTAAAGTGCAAATAATCAAATGAAATTGCTGCAATAGACGCAAATTTAAGACATCGTATGATATGAATTCAGGCTGTCGAAAAAAAACACACACACATACACACACACACACACATACACACACATTCATACTGATAACGAGGTTCATTTTTGCAAATTTTGATTGGTAAATTAGTTTCACACCACAAAAACGCAACGGAATCGTCGCAGTAAATTATAATTAAATGTTAAATCTCATGGTTGAAACAACGAAATAAAAGAAACATATTTGGTCAACTGGCAAGCAGCAACACGAAAAAAAAACCGAATTGGGCGAATACGAGCAGTCAGTTTGAATAAATTGAGCATTGAATTAAATATTAATGACGACTTTGTATTTGCATCTTTGGTCTATTTGTTGATTTACGTAAAAGCATACGATGATTAAATTGTATCATAGCAATTTATGCCAAAATCAAACTAAAAATACTCTCTTAACGAATTTCTAATCAAATGATAAACAAATGAAAACATCACTGCGTATTGCGTCAGATAATAAAAATCTGAAGTTTACGAAGAAAAAAAATCGGATTCTTGACACAGCATTCTGGCTGGATCTCGAATGACAAAAAACAACAACTAAGAAATGGTGCTCTTTCGAATTTCTGGGTTGGTGCTTTTGCGTACGTTGTTTCCCATACAAACCCGCTGTTGTTCCGTTTATATCAATACAATCTCTCTGCTTGACGCACGTCGATTCCGCTTTCTCTCTCTTCAAATTCTATTTCGGCCAAAATCCCCAAATTGAATGTCGAGCATTTGCACGCAACCTTTCTAAGCAGAAAAAATCATTGTTTTTCCCGTATTTTGCCCAAAGCATTTTTTCTCACATATCGACGCGTATACGATATAGAAGTAGACAATCAAATGAATTCATCTCGCTTTACTTTCCTTTGTTTACTCTATGTGGTTGGCCCCCGCGCTCATTTCTGTGTGGCATCATGAAGCATGTCCTCTTAACGATGGAAGATGCTCGATCGAAAGAAAAAAAAATGTTTCAAACGGTGTGCGCATACAATTTGACTTCTTATACATTTTTTATGCATTCAAAATACGAATAACCTTTTTTTTCCCATAACTTAACGCAGAGGTACGACTGTGTGTACGTAGCCACAACGTTCATGTGTGGCAGACTTCAAATACTACCTGCCCACTTGCATTCTATTTTCCCTTTACATTTGCGTTTACCTAATGCAAATAGATGTTGTGCGCCCCGTTTTCATTTCGCTATTCGTATGTTGTTGATCTACAACACAATTTTCAAATTAAAAACAAAATCATGAAGAAATGTTTTCTCCGCCGGTGACATCTCTCCAATTACTGATTTGCATTTAAATGCGTTTTCTATTTGTAGTTCGTTACCGCAAATAGATTTTAAAATCGCATTTTTCTTTTTTGTAATTGACAAAGCAGAAATGCTATCAATATGAATCAAAAGGGTCGAATGGAAAATGTCGTTGAAAACTTTTTCTTTCACTTATTTGTCTATACAAAAAACGATTTTCATGTATGAATCGAAGTTTATAAGTCTCTATTGTGTGAATTAAAAAGAGCGAAATAATTGTTTGTCTTTTTTGACAAGTGACAAGTTATTGGCAATCTGAATAGAAATATGCAATAGATTTAAATGAACAGACATTTAATTTGATGAATTAAATATTATTATTTAATTAAATTCAATTATCCAAAATGGGAATATTTCTTCATTCGACGGGCACGAAGTTAATTCTTTCAATGAATTCGTCGTATGTCATGAAACTTTCGGCTGACGAAAGCTGCAAAGCTCTGCAGCCGTATGTCATTGAATGCATCCATTGTGCGTTTCATTTGACAACATTAATGTATTGAGCGGTATTGAGAAATTGACAAGCCACCATATTTCTTATCTGAGCGTAATTTTTTTTTTCTGGTTTGTTATTAAAAGTCGAATGCTTCGATGGCATTTTAACAAACGGAAAACGGAAAATCAAAAGAAACTCATCTGTTTGTATAGTTTGCTGTCGATAACCATTGTGTTGTTCAGCTGACATCGAAAAAAAACGAGAATATTTCATATTTGTGTGGAACGTCCCTCATTTCATTACACATCGATTTGAAGCACGCACAGACTCATTGAATTATAATATAAAATAATGACAACATATGCACAGGACCGTGACGGTAATTTAATATATGTTCATGTGAAAATCGTGTATTTTACCATGTTGCTAGTTTTTTTCTCGCCGACAATTTTGTATCGTTGTCAATGGTGTCGGAGAGTTGTGTGATTGAAGTCGGATGGATTAATGGTTATTGGTATTTTTATTTCTTCTCTTTGTAGGGAAATATATTCCAGCATCTCAACGACCTGATGGTACATGGAGGAAAGCGCGTCGTGTCAAAGACGGTTATGTGCCACAGGAAGAAGTGCCACTGTATGAGAGTAAAGGGAAATTATTTATGAAAAAACCCGCAATACCGGTGGGAATGTGCCCAATTGTCGCACAACAAGCGAAAGAGAAACGTGAACGACAGCAGCAGCAACAACAACAACAGCAACAACAACAAAAATCCAATAAAAAGTCTGTAACACTTAATCCAATACCCGGAATGTATGTCTTGCCAAACAGTAGTAGCAATAGCAATGAAAACAATCAGAAAAAGAAGCAAAATGCCAAGGTGCCCAATGGTTTGAGTAACAATGAATCAAAATCAACGTCAAAAAAATCCACACCAAAGCCAAAATCAACCGCCGCCAATAACAATGCAAACGCCCATGCCACAGCTGCCGCTTCATCATCATCATCATCGTCGTCGTCGTCGTCGTCATCGTCCGGCAACAATGTGAACACACTGAGCGATTCCGTCTCAAATCTAAATATCGATGATGATCCAGCCAAAAAAGTAAAAAAATTGCGGAAAAAAATCCGCGAAATTGAAGTGATCGAAGCGAAACAGGATGCAGGCGACAAAATCGATGCAGACCAACTGCAAAAACTCAATCGAAAATCGGAAATTCTGCAGCAACTGAGTGACCTCGAACAGCAGCTGGACCATAAATAATAATTGTAGTGCGATGATGCCACGCTCAACAAAAACAACAAAAACTACAAACAAACCTGTCTAGTGTTTACTTCAACTCACTCATTCACTCATTTTGCTTTAGGTGCCATTCGATCATACTCCATCACGATCAATTCAAAGTCTCCTCCCAAATCAATGCCGGAGAGTAGGACATTTATCAAATCTTTTGTATATGTAGTAGAAAACAAAAAACAAAAAACAAAACAAAACATTAACACACATTTAATTTCTTGCGGTGAGTTCGATGTCAAATGCAATCCAACCAGAAAAGAAGAAGAAGAAGAAACCTACAACAAAACACAATGATTAGAAATGGTGACGATGACAAAAGATGCAACAGAGATAGAATAAAAACAGAAACATTTAAATAGTAGCGCGTCACCGATCGCTCGAAATCGTTCATAGATTTATATATATATTTTATCGTATCAATATGATTAGTGTTGAAGCACACCAGGCGGATTTACATATTTTGAGTATAAAAAATTAATATTTTGAAATGGAGATAACTTGAGAACAGAAACCAAACGTACAGAGAAAAACAAAACAAATGAAATCAACTCCGGAGAAAACAAATGGTTTAGATAAAGCAAAGCAGCAGAGAATGTGTAAAATGCATACAAATTTTCATTCAAGATCATTGTACAATTTGTGATTTAAATTATAATTTGAAACGAAAAATGAAAAATAAAAAGAAAGAAAACTAAACATGACAAATACAATTAAAATAAATAGATTTATTTGAGTCTTTCGATTGAATCACAGGTTACGTATTGTTTATACTGTCAAAACTTCCAGCGTGCGGTATCGATATTGACCACCACCATTCGTGGTGATATTGAGCCATTTGTCTGATAGGAATGGGATGGTCATCACCAGTGCGATATACACAAAGTATGGTAAAGGTTTCGTCGTTCCAAAAGGCCACAGTGTGAATCCTCTTCGTGTCGCATCACGAGTGTGATGACACAAAAATGCGCATGTAAATACGCTCAGCCATAGATTAAGACGAGGCGAATGAATCCATTGATGCAGTGGAATTATTAGAATCATCAACACCAACGGAATAGTTGTAAAGTGTAGAAATGGTCTTCGGTCAATACTAATCGCTCTCTGCAATGGATAAATCATCAATAAAATATTGTTTTCATTGCGAACAAATGGAGAAAATTAAAATTACCGAAAGTTGCATTGACTTGGCAACCAAAAAATGATCGATGTCAATGAACGATGACACCAATACACTCATCACAACCAAAGCAATTTGCTCGATTCCAGCCGCTCTATGATTCGTTTCCAAAATTAGGACGATTCCACCGAAAAAACCGACAATTGCATGCGTAGCATTATCACAAATGGCTTTTCGTATTTGTGACTCTTGGTTCACGTCCACCAAATAATCGCCAAGCAAACAAATGCCACCATTTAGAGCGGTTAACGCCAGGCTATTTGAATACAGCTGCATAACCGAAAATTTTACCGTTCAAAAGGAAATTTCGCTGCCAACAGATCGTGTACATGTTTTCACTCAATCAGTCAGTCAGTCAGTTACGTCGGTATATTATGTGTTATGACGAAGTGAACGAACAATTAATCTGACATGTACAACCGAAATGTCAGCGGTCATTGAATGAACACTTGTACCAAACGGCGCCATTTTTCAAAATGAATTTTTCATCTGTCGCTACCCGAATTGAATAGCGTTGAACTGGTGCGCTTAGGCTACACTGTGTGTCTAATAAATGCGTTACAACTGCGACTTGAATTTCGTATAGAATGAACAATTTGACATTTAATTAAGCATATTTACCCGAATAATTGACAGAAAACACAGTTGAAAATTCGATAATTGATGATGGTTTGTGTGACAGCGAGGAGAATGAGATCGACATCCGTCTGTTCAGAGAGCGTTGGCTGTTGGCGTTGTTTTTTTTCGGTTCGTCTTCGTCTTGTGTATGAAAAATTAAAATGACTGTTGGCAACAGATATTTGATAGCAATCGGCACATAGGAGGTCCATCCAAATGTGCTAATTCGTGTAATAATCTCGCAACACCGTACAAAATGTGCGACATTTAATAAAAACTGTGTGCCAGCATCAACGTAATGCTTCTCCGCTCGTCTTTTCTTTTCCCATTTCAGTTTGTTTTCTTATTTTTTTTTACTTTTTCTTGAATTTTGTGGCCGTTTGATCCGTTCCGAGGGATTAATTTGAAATTCGTCTAAATATATAACACGAGTTTCATCGCATCATTTTACGTTACGAATTGACTTTTATGACGGCCGCACACTTTTTCTCACTCTCTTACTGGCCAAGCTAAGCTGATGTGACTGTTATATTTTTGCAACATTTTCATTTTCGTTGTTGTGGTTGCTGTTTTGCTTTCGAGTGAGCCGTTCACTGTTTTGTGTTGCTCATACGTTTAATTTTTTCCGCAACACAACCGAGTGACACATCGGCGAACAGAACAATAACGAACCAAATGCTGGCGAATTTTCATCATTTTTTCTTTGTCTCTCTTTTCATTCTTTCCCACATTGTCCACATACAAAATAAATAATAAAAAAAAGCCAAATAAAACATAGAATCTGTTAAAACAAAATAATCTCTGTAATTTAGAGTGATTTTGGGAACTGTAGCATTCGCTTCAACATTTATTTTTTTTTTTGCATATTTCTTCATCACGTCGCCCATCGTGAGACATCCGAAAGCGATAGGAAGAAGAAAGAACACAATTTTTTCATTCTTTGTTGTATGTTTTTTTCTGTTGTTGTTGCATATTTCGATTTATTGTTATGGATGCGTGTAAATACGGTTATTTGTTGTGTCATTTTCAATAGACCGTGTCAAATATTTAGTTGAGCCAATTAGTGAAGAAGGCAACCAATACACAGAAAATTAACACGCATCTCTAAAACGTTGATAAATAAAAAGCGAGATCAAAAAAATAAGATCGTTGATTAAACAGTGAGTACTCAATTGGTGTGGAATCAAACGGTTGTATATCGACAGCAATGGAACAAACAGTGTTAGTGTATGTCATGAATGGAAGACTCAATGCAAATATTGACTTGACTGAATCTATCTAAAGTGTTGGGCCAATGAATCAGCTCTCATTAATCCACGATACACGAAAATACAGTCGCTTCATCAGCATCATCATCATCATCATCATCATCATCGCACAAGCAAACTTAATTGATGGCAAACGAAAAATGAGCCCAAATTCAAATGAATAGCATAATTAAGACTGTTTAGAGACACTTGCAACGTAATTTTAGAATGATAGCCTAGCTGTAACGACAGGATTAAACGGATCAAATTGAGAAAAAAAATACTTTGTCAAGATATTTATTTATTTATTTTGTGTCTATATATTTTTTTCTTCTCATTTTATTTCATCTTCATTCGTATTTGCGTGTTTTTTCACGCTGCTTCAAATGAAAAATATCACATCATTTTTCTAAGCCACTGTTTGTGTATTATTTTTTGTGTGTCTTCGTTGTGTCCGTCTTTGCCTTTCTCGATGCTTGTTTATTTGGTCTACTCCATAAATGCGTGTGACATGTGTTTTCTTTTTTCTCTCTCTCTCTCTCTCTCTCTCTCTCTCTCTTTCTCTCTCTCTCTCTTTCTTCTTGATCTTTTCAATCTTTTTTCGTCGCCACCGATTTTTTTGTCTATTTTTCATCGTATCAGGCATTTGTTGTTATTGTTGTTACTGTTGCTCTGAGCCCCTGAACGAAGTCAAACGTCAATTGTCTATATGTGTATGTGTGATCACATCGTGTTTTTGAACGTAATTTGTGGATTCCTTGGACGTTTCTCATGTGTCACTTTGAGAACAACAAATGTAAACTTTGATGATTTGTGTTTGTTTGGCTGAAAGATAAACATTGCAATATGTTGCATGCAAGTGAACTTGCGCTCAAGCACAAAAGTTCATTTCACACTTTTCGCTCGAAAGAAAAAGCAGAAGCAACGACAAATTCATGGCTGAATATTCGACATTTAGATTGATTCATTGCTTCTGCGTTCGTTCGTTTTTTTCTGTTATTCGAAAAAAAATTGAACCTGTCTTTCCCCACTTCGTACACACGGTGGTGTGTGCACGGCGCGCTTCTGATCGCGAAATGCATGCGATCGACTCGAATAAGTAAAATACATGTGATCTGTCTTCAGAAACACGCAGAAGGAGAGACCGATCAAATGTTCTATTTTTAATGTGCATTTTAAGAATAGTGACCGCTGACACATTTGCATCAAACACATTAACACCCGAAGCAACAACAACCGACACACGATGAGGAAAACTCACATACAATAGACTAGGCTATATTCATCGCTAGATTTCCCGACACATGATATGTGTAAGTTCGGGCCAGGAAGCAAAAAAAAAAGTAATAGAAGAAAAACGAAGGATACAAGAGAGAAATGAAATAAAACACAATCGACCGCAACGTGTGGCTGCAAATAAAATGAAAAACGTAAATACAAAACGGCGCACATTTCGGCACATCGTGTGTGACGCACAGAGAGAGTGAGTGCCCGAATGTAAATGAATTTTAAAGATGAAAAGAGATGATATGAACACACATTGAAAATACAGTGGCCGGAGCGATGTGCTTAGAACGCATATTAGTATTAGCACCGAGGCTGACTTACTGTACATTACGAACTGACTTCGTCGCACAGAGTAACAGCTCTAAATAGAGAGTTTGTTTTGTTTATCGAACGGCGAATGATTACATCTGCTTTCACAGAATTCGCTTCAGACCCCTGAGCACACAGTTCACACATTCACTCACCCAATTCTCTTTCATTTCGCTTTCTCACTCTCTCCTCTCGTCTCGTACATAACCGAAATAATATATCCGAACAGCAGCACTTTGTGATGAAAAAAAACACATCAGATGAAATTCAAATGTAACGAGATCAAGAGAAGTTCGCGCGCGCGGATCACCACACCGATAGTAAACATAAATCGTGCTCTTTCGTCAGCTATTACTTTGCCCGAGCTCATTAGTTTAGAAATAAACGTCTCGTCGGCGAATTAAACAGAGATAGAGCGAATGAGAGAATAATATGAGCGAGAGAAAACCGAAGCTATCAGCCGAACGTAAACAATCGATTTGCAACATTTTAAATTGTTGCTGAATTTGAAATAATACACAAGCTCGAACACTGGACTGAACAAGCCGAGCAGTCAGCAGAGATGCTTAAAGTGTAAATGTAAATTGTTTTTAGTGTGGAAAATTGTTCATTTTCCGATTATTGTTCATTGCTTAGTCAAATTAAGTGCTTGTTCGTTCACTTGTCACGAATTGGACAACGATAAAAGGAACAAAACCATCGGCCAACTAATTAATAGTTCGGTGGAAATCATTGCCAATAAGAAGCGTGCATAACATTCATTGTTTGCTCAAAACTTATCTCATGTTGTAATTTCGACCAGTGGTAAAAATCAAGTGCTTAAACACTTAATAGAGCAATTATATCGCATTTAATATCTCGTCACTTCACGTTGAGTTCGAGCGTTAAAAAGCTCATTTCAATTTGCACATGTGTGCGCCGTTCACTTATTTGTGTCTGTGTCTGTGTCTGTGCCTACTCGAGCATCGAGTGTCAGAGCATTGTACATAAAAAATATGGTTGATGTGTCGTTTGCGGTGCCGTTGACTATTGCGTTAAAGACATTTGTGGAAGTCGATCAGACGGTCGACAGTGTTTACGAAAATAAGTGTAACATCATCCGTTAAAACAAATTGATTTTATTAGAAACAAGTGTGAATAAATAAAAGAACACACAACAACCGAAACAGAACGACTCACACAGAATTGAGAAAAAGAAGAGAAGCCAAATGGGAAGAATAAGAGAAAATAAAACCTAATACACACCAACGAAGGGAAGAAGCTCCGAAAAAGAAAACATTGCTCAACATTAATTAAGTCGAATATCGCATTTTCGCCCATTCATCAACACTGATGTGCAAATAGAGAGTTGATAAAAGTACCAAGAGTCAAACATTTGTGCTGCTGCCTCACACTAATACTGCATTGTGGTGAATTTGTGTGTTTTTTCCCGAATGATCAGATGAATTACGGCGATACCATAAGTTTTCGTCCATTTCAGCACATATAATCTTCTGAGTGAATCGAAGACTCAACGTTCTACCTCAAGCAAATAACACACAAAGTCTCTCTCTCTCTCTCTATCCGCTGTCTCGACCTGTAAATCGGGCGAGCGTGCATTAAAAATACAATTTTCTATAACTTATTAAATTGTCTCATCATTGCTCGCTATTTATACTAATAAATGAGCGGGATAAGGCAGCAATTGAAGGTGATTTTTTTTTGCTATTTATTTTTCTTCTTTTTGTTTCCTACATCATTTTCGTTTGGTTCAGTTTTCATCTCGTGCACTTAATTTTTGGTTTTTGTTAGACAGTGAAAATTACGATGCTGTTAATTTATTCCATTCGAATGCTCCCCCTTGGCGCGCGCAATCATGTAAAGTGGTCGATTTTGAAATGCATAAATACATTGTAGTGAGTGTGAGTGAGTGAGTGAGTGAGTGAGTGAGTATGAGTATGAGTACTTTGTTGTAGTAAATTTAAAAAAAAATGCGACAACTGAACCAAACGCGATCATAATTTGATTGATTTATCTGCGACTTTTGTAATTGAGTTCAATTTTTTCTTCTTCTCATCATAAATAAACCGTCTGTTGTTTTCGGTAATTTTCAAAATCTATCATTAAGAGTGCGTAATTTATTCTAATTTTCTCGTCACCTGCACACTTTTCCGATTAGCAAATGATGCTTAGGATACATGTATTATTCTTTTTTGTATATAGAAACATAATGTTTGCACCATTTTCTTTCTGGCTCGATCGAGTTCAATGGATGTGGTTAATACAAAAATAAACGATTTTCATATTTTGGCTGAGAACGATGAAAGATCAAGAAGTTGAAAAAAAAATGAATAACAACAATAATAATAAACGGAAAATGAATGAATGTGCATGTTCGCACACAACTGAAATCATTTCGCTCAGAATAATTATGACAAAAGGTGCTTCGGGACCGAAAACAAAGAATAAAAACTTGAAAAATACGTTTTTCTTCATTATAGCTCATTGTCATTGTTTCAAAAAGTAAAACGCAGAACAATCGCAAATATTAGACAATAGAAAATAGATTATACAACTTAGAGACAATCAGCGAAAATGAGTTTTAGAGAGGAAATAAATGTCTCGATTTAATGAGAAATATAGTTGTTGCTCCAAACAATTTGTCGCGTCGATGAGTGCTGACGACTTTGATCATCATACTCGCGCTGTATTCATTCTTTTTTCATTTTGTCGAAAACAACAGCTCACTCACACATATTTATTGAGCAACACACGCTCTTTTCGTCCGGCTCCCCTGATCTCAATACATTATTGAACTCGTGAAAATGATGAAAATGCACGGCATCGAGAGGAAACAATGCCGGGCATGTGATCCATTCAAGACTCAAATGGTTTCGGGCAACATTTTGACAGCCAAAAGTATTTAGGCAATTTCACAGTAGCCCAATCTCAGTGCACGATGCCAACTAAATTGCCGGTTCATTAGATCACGATCTCATGTTGTGCTCAGTATTTATAATTCACCGTCGTAGTTTCCTTCTCTTTTAAACCAACTACAATTTTATATGATGCTATCGTTAATATAAAAATAATAAGTCACACTTTTAATTAGCTATTTTTTGCACAGCACCTAAGCAGATAATTATCAATAAGTTATTTATACATTCGCAGAAAATATTAGTCAATTGCATTTGCTGTCGCTCGATTATTTCATGTTTGTGCGGAATCGGAGTCGAAGCTTCTAAGAATAGATTTAAAGAAAGCAATAAAAATGAGCTTTTCCGTGTATCGGTTTAAGCTTGTCACTTGGTTTCGAAATGGATTTATTGTTGTTGTTGTTTGATATCCATATTTGTTTTTTGCACAAAGTCCTAAAGCTGCACACCGTAGATCATTCAAATTGTACCTGTCAGAATCGTTTTTTTTCTCTCCACAGTAATAAGTTCTGGGAATCTCAATTAAAATTCAGACATACGCTTTGTTTTGCAGATGTTGGGCTCCGCGCTTATCGGGCGACGACATAAGGTGAGTGTCGCACTAATAACTCTATCGAACAGCACAAATGTCAATGTCAACAAAAGGTGAATTGCGTAATGTTGGTGTCAATTTTTTTTTTCAGGATCATGTGAAGAAAAAGGGGTTCACTGAAGAGGAGCTACATGGTAAATTCCATTTTTTCAAAAAATTCATTTGACAACTTAAGTTCATATACAACAAAATTAATGATATGCATCTAATACTTCTGTCATTCATCATAGAAACCAACTATCGCTAGTATAGAAAATAAACAGTTGTCGGTACAATCGTCAAAAATTCCTGTTAATATCTGATACAGGTGATAGTGACATGGGAGTAAAGCAAATAAAATGAAACACAAAATACGCACACCGCAAACAAACACACATACAGAGAAAGAGAGAGAGAGAGAGAGAGAGAGAAAGAGAGAGAGAGAGAGAGAGAGAGAGAGAGAGAGAGAGAGAACGATAGCAATAACGAATCGCAAGTTAGACTAATTACTATTTATTTCACAAGTTGCTTTTTCCACTGTCGCTGTGTCTCCGTCACCTGTAGACAGCCAGTGTTTTGTATGTCGAAATTGCCGAAAATTCCGATGAATATTAATAATAATTCTGTTATAGTGTGAATTATTTATTTTTGTACGAAACATGTCGGAAAAGTAATATGCCAAATCGATGCGAATTTCAAGGTACGCCAAACGGTACTTTTCATTCGTTCGCACAAAAACTTTGTCTATGCAGCTTTCGTGCCCATCATTCTTGGCCGAAATTTTTATTTGCTTTTTTCCGTAAGCAGCCACTTTTATCGAATAAAAATTGCGCTATCTTGGCTGTAGCAAGCAACAGTTGAGTATGTTTTTTTATTCTGATGATAAGTGATATTACTCAGATAAGACAGTTAATCAATTTGGAAAATAATAAAAAAGAACGTCGACGACGACGACGACGACGACGATGACCGTATCTCAATGAAAAAGTGAGATAGCATTCGAAGCATTTGTTTTGACTTGAAATAAGTCCCGCGATGACGAGATACAGTGATCAAATTGAGCCCTTGAAACATATATTCGAATAAGAGAAAACGAAATTCCATTAAAAATTTTCGTTTAACAATTAATTGCCAATTCGTTTCCCATTTTTCGGTTGAACATTCTATTTTTCTTATCCAAAGTAAAAAAGTGTAGATTGCGTAAGAAAAATGATTTTCAAAGACAGTGAAATCTGTAAGTAGATACAAACAAACCGACAAAAAAAAACACGAAAACAAATATGCAATTTCCAGTGAAACGTTTTGTTGTGTTCTACTCAGTGTGTGCTATCTCATAATAATTGCATTGAATTTGATATGTCAATGAATGGATTTTTGCTTGAGAAACCATCATTTATCGGTACGCGCGCGTTGCAGCGCAGGGGGTGCATTTTATGCAGGTCATTATGATATGCGGCAAAGTTTTTCTTTTCTTTCTCCATTACGCGCCGTCAATAAATCATTTCAACAACAACAACACAATTTTCTTAGAGCAATACCATTCCAATCGGTCGGAAGGCAATCGAATCGACTTATGTATATGATTTACTCGTGTGTTCTTCTCGCTCTCAAAGGATAGGAAACCTTTGTAATGGGAAAGAAACAAGTGCATTGTTGCTCATTTTAGAGAATGAAATACAAACATCCGAAGCAGTGGTGATTGTGCGCACAAGAAGAAAACCATGTAGAATTGTGCCGATTGGAATTGGTAATATTGAAACACACGGTAGATTCCATCCGTTAGATTGTTATTTTCGCAAAATAGTCGCACGTGTAGTGTGCACGTATCGTTTGTGATCCTTTATCCGCGCTGATTAGTTTGCTGGTAATCAAAGCCAACCCAGCCGATGTTTGGTCGGTCGTTCGTTCGTTCGTTCGTTCGTTCTTTAGTTCGTTTCATTTGGTTTGCTCACTTGCTCAACTCGAATTTTGCTTTCCATTCAAAACAACACGATAAAACACACAACATTCTGCCAACGTTGAAACAGTTGTTTTGGTGCATCGTAGTTACGGTAATTTGCTTACTATTATACCCGTTGCGAGTTTCATGTGGAAAATATCGACTTTAGTCGAGCTTCATTCAGCCGGCCAACACGGTGATATACAACTCACTGTTTGGCAACTTACGTTACATAAATTTATTGTTCAATCAAAAAGCGCAAAAAAGCCAAATGTGAACACTGTACAAAGAAAGAACAAAGCAATAAAAACCAAGAACAACAACAACGACAGGGGACAAAAAAAATAAGACGAACCAAAACCTGAAGTGATCACTGCAGTCATTTTCAGTCGGAATTCTTGTTGTGGTCCGTGTGTTTTGTGAAAAGAGCGAAAATTATTTTTGTTCGCTTTCAACGTTTCAATGTGCTTTTAAGACGAATTAGGAAATGCAACGAGTCAACATGAACCATATACCACCGAATTCATTCGACCTCGATAGTGCGTATAACTTCATTATGAAACATTTAATTTTAATATCTATGCCTAATTATCCGAAATGATGGGAACGGCGCGACGTGTGCGGATGTCTCTGGGTTTTTTGTTGTTGTTGTTTTCGCTTTAATTTGTGCAAAGTGTTGTCGTCGGTTTTAGGACTCATGCTCATTTACACATGTCGCATCTCGGGTTGATTTTCATTTTAAATTTAAACTAATTATTATTTGTGTGGTTATTGTGCGAAATTGAAATGGACCAATTTTGAAAAGTGGGATTATTATGCTATTTGTAATGCAAATTTTTCATTTGCCATTTAGAAGCAGGACCAGCTCAAGCGCAAATTTCGCGAATCTTCGAAAAAAAAACCGCACAACATAATTCGCTTGAATGATCCGAACCAAAACTATGTCAATTATTCGGTAATATTCTCCCTACAAATACACCTTGATTTGGAAAAATTGACAAAAACGCCAATTTTGTGGTAATCAAGTTGAAAATGATTGAGGTATTTTGCGCAATTTTTGCATCTCACTCAGTGAAAATTGCATGAGAAGTTTTCTCTTACATTTCACACAAATTTGGCGAGAAATGTGTCTTAGGCTGAACATTGCAAATTTTCATTATTTCACAAAAAAAATGCGCATTTCTGATTCAAAACCACAAAACTCATCTGAAGATCATTTTAGTTACAGCCAACATAAAATTCATTGTGGTATGGTAAAATATTCCACTATGGTAAAATTTTCATTGGTTAACCTTTCCGTAACAGAAAAATGCCCATAAATTGTTTAGTTTTTGTAGAAAACTATTAAGTGCCTATTATATTCATGTTCAACAACATGATTATCAATTCAATACCGTACAATTCGATGTAGTTTGTATCACTTTGCCAGTGGATGTCAAAAGTATTCAATCAGGTTGAATAAAAGCACGGAAAAAACTGCACTTCACCATCGTGATCACCTTCGTAGCCGCGTCCGATGAAGGTGTCCATCATAAAGTTGTGCAAATAAAAGTTATCTGATGTGCGAATGGTAATCTGTGAAGGCCTTGTCGACTCATAAAATCCTTCCGATTTTCCGCGCACTAACATCAAGTGAATGGTTTGGAGCGAAAATGTAATACAGAAAAGTTCAGCGGAAAAATGTCAAATGAAAATTGATAGCTATATAGTTCACTATAGTTTACTATACAGTTTACCGTATAGCTATCCCTTTTCCGCTCATTCATCATCGACATTTTTCCGCTCAACTTTTCTGTAATACATTTTCGCTCCAAACCATTCAAGTGTATAGGCATTGTGAGTGAAAGTGCGCTAATTGCACCTGTATTGCAATTTTATGGCCAGTTAATAGTCGAGTGGAGTGTGTGTGTGTGTTTGTGTGTTTGTGTGTCCTTAGACGTTTCACAGTCAGATTTTATGTTGTTACTGTTTCATATTGGACGTCCTTTCGAGCATCGTGATATTTATCGGCATGACGTAAATATGTTGTCATTTGCATAAGCGCATACAACGGAGAAAGTGAATTAAATGTGTGTTCAAAGCACATTCAATACATATTGATAATGGTTTGTTGTTCCTAGCACACGGCAAACCAACGTTCACCCCCTTGTTGTTGTTTTTCTCATTCTTTTATATTTTATTGATCAATGGAATTCTCTCCATATGTGTCTAACGTGCATATATAGACGTATATAATATGCAGAGTCAAACAAAGAAGCTTAACCCGTGTGAAATTTTTTTTAGATTTGCGAATAGCGTTTGAATTGCTGGATCGAAACCAGGATGGGCGTGTTACGGCCGGCGAGCTGCAATTTATGTTAAAAAATTTGGGTATCATTGTGCGAGACGAGCTAATCGACGATCTCATCAAAGAAGCTAGTCATGGTGGTAACCAACGACCCTTAAATAAAATCCAAGTAAACACGAGCAAAATCCATTAAACCATTCGATTTGCGCTTTGTTATTCCTTTTAGGCAATGGTCGAATGGACGAAAAAGAGTTTCGCCAGTGGATCCAACGAATTCAGTCACTGCAAGAGGAATCAACGGTCAGCCCATCCACTTCACAGTCACAGTCACAGTCACAGTCACAATCCGAAACGGATGACGATATCACACAAGACTTAATAGCAGCGTTTCGGTAAGGATATAGCCTCTCATGTATGCGCTGCTTCGGTCGTTTAATGCAAATTATGGCATTTTCGTTTGCAAGAAGCAACGAAAAATAAGCAACAACAACCACCGACTATTATTACCATATAAAAGCCCATCAAAGAAATCATGAAATGGCCCATTCGAAAGCAATTTCAAGCGTTTCGATGAATTGAATCGAACTGAAAATTATCGCCACTGAAACATTATCATTAAATCTTAAAAATAGTCGCAAATCACTGGCGGTTCTCTTGGATTAAGCATTTGAATTAGTAACGGTTTGAAAATCGTTTGGCGGGCTTTTGGATCGTGTTTTAGTTGTCGTTTTTCTTTGCGCCTCTGATGGGCACACACGCAATGTGGAGGTGTGAGCTTAGCTGTGTATGGAAGTGTGTCTGCGCAATAATTCTTGAGTGCTATTTCATTGTTTGATTTCGAATTCATTTGATGTGTGCGATAAAGCGGCATACGTTGCTTTTTTTCGTTTCTCTCATGTTATTTTTTTTCCCTTCTTTTCTCTGCCTTTCTCCCCCTTTCTCTCTATTGCGTTTTTCGTCTTGGACTTTATGTTATTTTCCTTTCGGCGTTGGGTCTGATTGTTGCGATTGCTAAGGGTTTTTGATCGCGACGGTAATGGATACATAACACGCGATGAGCTTCAAATAGCGATGGAAATGATGCAGGAAAACGTTACCGAGACGCAAGTTAATGAAATGCTGCAATTAGCGGACCTCGACAAAGACGGAAAAATAAACTATGAGGAGTTTGTGCGATTGCTGCTCTAAACAACGAATTCTTCAACTATGAAGGTAACAAAAAGAAAGAAAAAAAAAACAAGTGAAAGAAAATCATTGCTGATTTTTTTCTTCTGACTTTGGCTTTCAAATACCAAGAAATCAAGTATTTGCAAATGAAACAACAAATAAACGACATTCAAGCGATAATTTTCATTTTTTTCTGCATTCTTTTGTTTAGAATTTGTGCGATTGCCCTGAACAACGAATTCTTACGGTGCTGCTGATTACTTGTTAAGATTATGATGGGAAATTTAACAATTTTTTAATGGCGGACATGGTCCGAAACGAATTTTTAATTGTTGTTTTATTTTCGATCATTGAAGTTCTCTTATTATTCTTCTTTGTTGGTAAATTGCGTTTTAAACAAACAAACAAAAAATAATAATTGTAGCATTAAGAGAATCGTTTCATGTGCCGTGTGTGCGATTTTGAATTAAGAAATTTATATATTATTATACATCATACATATAGGATGATTCGATGAATAAGATAATTGAAGGGGAAAAAAATGAAAAACTTAAATGCTCCAGTCATGAAATACGATCGTGAACGTTTTGAAATAAATTTTGTTCTAATATTGAAATGCAACTAGTCAAATAGTGAATGTGTGTTCGTTTTTTCTTTCATTTTTTTCTTTTCTGTGCTTGTCGTTTTTGGGCGGAAGCAAAGCCAAAATACATTTTTGTGTGAAATATCGCATCGCATTGATCAAAGACCACGAAAAATTGCACTGCAACATTTTGGCGAAAATGCAATTAATCATCGTTGAAATAAACGATGTAAACACAAATATCGGCAATAAATCTGCATATCGTCGATATAGTGCCAAAAATTGTGGTTTTAAATAGAGTATATGAGTGAAACAGCTGTTAAATAACTGCTGCTATATGCCAAATTATACTTCCATTTTTTTATATATTTTTTTCGTTTACAAGACAAATCGAAAAATCGACAATATTCAAAGAAAAAAAAATCACTCAAAACTTGTAAGTAATTTCCTAAGCGTAATAAGATGATGAAAGGATGGATAAGTTGAATTTTTCTTACGTGCTGCTATTTCAATCCGTGTCAGATTCAATATCTGTCAACATTTGCACGATTCAAATCATTTTAATGATTAAAATTATGCAATTCAATCGTTGACATTCTTCTGCAAATGAATTATTTTGATCAACGATTATCAATTTTTTGCTGATATGCTGAGCATTCCGGGCGATCACATGCTAGATTTTTCATAAATTTAGAATGAGGTGATTTTATCGGAGCAAAAAATGGAAAGAGAAGGAGAAAAAAACAACAAATTCATTTGACCGCATAACGAGTGTTGCGGTACAGCGCCAACAAAATGTCAAAGTCGAATTACGAACCGGGTCACGAGTCTATCAAAGTAGGCGAGACCCTACTGGTAGCAACATCACAGAAAATCAACGAACTTTTTTCCAGTTATCACCGAAACGATTTGCGTTTCAAAACCACGCGCCTAATTCGTGTGAAAATTTAATTTTGGAAAAAGCCGGGTCCAACATAAAATCACACATGAAAATGCATTTTATGAGCCGAAAAAGATGAAAAAAAATCGAACGAGATATTCGATTGATAGGTTAACAATCTCGATTACGAATTGACTAGAAGAGCGATAAGAGTAGTACGGCAATGTGCCGCACACAATTGGTGTGCACCGATGCGTCTCATGACCAAGTCCATGTACTAAACGATAAAATGTCGATAGACAGCACACACACACACAGTGAAAAAGAAATAGAAAAAAGACAAGAGAAGAAATACGTTCGTATTGAAGCAGCAACCGAATGTGGGAACCGAAGTACACCCGATACATGTTCTACATCATACAATGTGCTAAAATTGCGCATGGTTATATTATGGAGAAGAGACGTATGTGAAATTACGATTCGTGCGATTCGTCCAGTCAATGTGAACTATAGAGAGCCGAAAATAAGGGAAAAAGTCTAACTAAGAAGAAGAATCTATCACCCACACGACATATTCAACGATTTTCACATTGTGTGGAACCGTTTGCGCATTTTCCAGCCAACAATCACATTTTTATTCGTTCGGTTTTACAAATACATTTTGGTTATTTTGCTGAATATTTAATGGATTCTGATCCTGATCTGGAAATTATCGAAAAAGATAGCGGTATGTCGTCATTGGGAGGTAGCAAAGATGAAACACCGGAACGACGTGCTGTCATTGTATGTATTCAATTTTGGATTTGGTTTTTTCGAAAAAAAATTTCAATGTGTTCAATGGGATTGATTTTGTGCTTTTGTAGGAGGATGTTGTTGACGAAGAAGCCGAAGCCAAAAACACGGTCGTTGTGAAAAGTTCAAGTGCTGCACAAGACGAAGAAAACTACGATGACGTGAGTTGTTGTTGTTGTTGTTATTGTGACATTTTTCGTTTGGATCGAAACGAATGGAATTAATAAAGGTTTATCTCTCTGTCGCAGGAGCCCGATGAGACTTTCAGCGAACGACTATGGGGATTGACGGAAATGTTTCCAGAGAGTGTTCGAACGGCGTGCGATGTAGCCACAGATTTCTCATTAAGTAGTACAAAAGCACTATACAAATTCTCATGTAACGCATCCTGGATATTCTTCACAAGCTCAATGATCCTGTTTGCGCCCGTCTTGTTCGAAACAGAAAGAGCTCAAATGGCTGAATTGGAGCTGTCACAAAAGCAACGAGTAAGTGTTTCGTTTGCAACGTTCATTGCAACGCTTTGTTATTGTTGATGAGAATGATATGGTGGTGGTGCCCATGAAGAGAAAACTTATATAACATTTATCAACAAAATTGCAACTAAATTCATTGAACACCATCTTTTGATGTTTTCTTTCTCTTCAGGTTTTGCTTGGTCCTGGAGCTGCAATTTCGGGCGGCGGTCCAGGTGGCATGCCAGCATTACCACCAATGCAGCGATAAAGGAAGAACAGAAGAAAAATTCGAACATGTATATGCGAACGAGACATAGCAATTAGAGAACAAAACACAGAGAGACAACTTTTTTTGTGAACATAACCATTTCGTTTGAAAGAGTTAAAAAAAATTTAGATGGGATAACGAAATTCATTGCACTATTAGATTAAATTACAATGAAACATTTGGATATTGTTGTTTTATTTTTGATGCGTATGAAGAAATCAAATGCGCAGCAACTTGGAACACTGTAAAATGTGAAACCAAAAAAAAAGTCGAGACCGAGTTGCATTTCGTATTTGTTATTCTTTACTCTTTGCTTTTTTAAGATGAAAAAAAAAATCAATTCAATACACGCGAATCAATCCGAAAAATTAAAAATAAATCCACGACGTTCATCCGATTTTTTTACTTGTTTCTCTTTGGATTCACGTCTGTATACAAAATTAAATAAGAAAAAACGAACACAAAACAATAATTTTTGATGACAAATAAAAATATCAATTTCATTCAACATACAAACATCTGAGCGTTATCGTTAGGAAAAAAAGAAATTGGTTCACTTTATTTGTTTATATTTATTCCATGCAAATATTTGATGCTCTAATTGTAAATTCATTTTTAAATTATCCATTTTGTTTGCTTAATTATGTAATTTTTCTTTCTTGTTTTTATTGTGTAGCCTTTTAATTTGAAGATGAAAACATTTCTGTCGTGCTGAAATGCAATTTCAATCCAATTCTTGTTCGATTCATTCGGTTTAACAATTCGATGTTGTGTTGCGACCGAAAAAAACCAATCTTGAGTGGTGATGTTGTGTTTTATTTTAGTACGATTCTTCGGAACGACCAAATTTGAAAACGATCGAACCCAAGAAAATGAAAACATTCTGCAGCAGCACACTTATTGCCGGCCAACTGCTCTTGTCTGTAAAAATATAGATATACGATTAGAATTGAGAAATTTTCTATGGACAAAATGCAAACAGCTTCGTAATCAATGCAAAATCACGGAAAATTCTATTTGCACACTAGATGAAGCCAACCAATGTTTTGGAACTGAATGAAGCATTTAAAAAAAATTGAAATAATTAAAATAAGACGTTTCCAAATACTAACTCTCACTGCCGTTCAAGCGAACAATCATCGTCCATACTGCAGCAATGATTGCGGCGAATCCAAGGACGAAACCAACGAAAATCCAAATGCGTGCTCCTCGGGTCTCGAGGCAGCCACCATTGAACGCAACATCACCATTTATCTAATACAACCAGAAAAAAATGGAATTCACAATTATTTGATGCATCAAATCGAAAATAGAGATTTCCAATTTTGTTTACTCACCTGGGCTTGAGAAACTGAATTGACCATGATTAAACTTGCTGTTCCCATTATACCTAAAATAATTTGAAGTGCTGTTGTTTCTCCATATACTGAGATTGCATCGATAAGGAACCACCATCCTGTGAAGAACTACAAACAAATATGCATTTTGTTTAATTCAATTAAAATATGAAATGAAGCGACATGAACTTGACATAACAGAGTAAAAAACTAAGTTGCATTCCAAGTTCAAATCGCATTTGGATTATAATTTCTCCTTCGTTTCAATATGATAATCCCATAAAAATCCATTTATGCGCTGATTTGAGCAAAAGCATTTTTATGCTGAATTGCAAGTCTCATGCAGATAGGAATGATGGGTAAATTGTTCACAGATTTCATTTGCAATGAAGAAAAAAAATTGTGAGTCATTGTTTCTCTTATACTCTATCTATACAAGTAACAATACACTGTATATTTACCAAAACTCCAGCCAATATTGAGGCGAAGGTATTTCGTTGGTTTTCAGCTGAAAACCAAAAACAAGACGTCAAACTATCCCAAATGCTCATGGTTTATATTTCTGCGTTGTTTGTCTGCCACGGAAATAAAACTAATAACAAAACAATAAAAATCTTTGTACGGAAAAATTTCGCCTTTTGTAATGATCGAACAATTACTAGTGTATTATAGAGGTATCAATGTTCGGCTTCAAAACATAACAAAATTTTCTCTTTGTAAGGATGACAGTTGGCTTCGAGACAAACGATATTGGCGAGAGTCGCTGTCATATCAGCGTATTTAGTACACTGTTCTAATTCGAAACGCAAATTTCTGCGCATTGAAGTGGGAAAAATGAAAAATTATTTTCGTTCACAAGTCGATTGCTATGGAGAATGTTCAATAAATTTTGGGATATAAATATTGTCGTTATCAAAAACGATAATCATTTTATTCGGCAGCAAATTGGTGTTGCACAATCCACAAATTGCCATCTGGTTTCGTAAGTATGTTCGATTTCGATTTAGTACAGTGGGCGCGATGGCGCTGAGGTGCATGAAAAATGAGCATCGGGCAAACCGAAGTGAATCGATGAGCGAACATCGTGTCTCAGTCGCTTAGACCGACTTTGCTACCCATCAAAATATATTCTATACCTTCGTTCGCCATCTTCTAGCCGTATCACATTCACGTAATTCTGTTACGTAAGGAGATTGGTAAGAAAAAAAATTTGTTCGCAAAGAAAAAATGTTCTCCGCAATCAAATCGGTGGCTACTAAAGCCGACAATAAAACTTTAATATCGTTTGTGAACCAATTTAATCGCCATTATGCTGCAAAAACCGCAGCTAAGGCTGGAATTGCCGCACAAGGTAAAGTTGTAGCTGTAATTGGTGCTGTTGTCGACGTTCAGTTCCCGGAAAATTTGCCACCAATTCTCAATGCATTGGAGGTTTCAAACCGTTCACCACGATTGGTGTTGGAAGTAGCCCAACATTTGGGTGAAAATACCGTTCGTACAATTGCCATGGATGGTACCGAAGGTTTGGTTCGTGGACAACCAGTTAATGACACGGGCTTCCCAATTCGAATTCCCGTCGGTGCTGAAACATTGGGCCGTATCATGAATGTCATTGGTGAACCTATCGACGAACGTGGTCCAATTGAAACCGATTTGCGTGCTGCAATTCATGCTGAAGCTCCCGAATTCGTTGAGATGAGCGTCGAACAAGAGATCTTGGTCACTGGTATCAAAGTCGTCGATTTGTTGGCCCCATACGTCAAGGGTGGTAAGATTGGTTTGTTCGGTGGTGCTGGTGTCGGAAAAACTGTATTGATCATGGAGTTGATTAACAACGTTGCCAAGGCTCACGGTGGTTACTCAGTGTTCGCTGGTGTCGGTGAACGTACTCGTGAAGGAAATGATTTGTACAATGAAATGATTGAGGGTGGTGTCATCTCACTTAAGGACAAAACTTCGAAGGTCGCACTTGTGTACGGTCAAATGAACGAACCACCAGGCGCCCGTGCTCGTGTCGCTTTGACTGGTTTAACTGTTGCCGAATATTTCCGTGATCAAGAAGGTCAAGATGTGTTGCTCTTCATTGACAACATTTTCCGTTTCACACAAGCCGGTTCGGAAGTGTCTGCCTTGTTGGGTCGTATTCCATCAGCTGTCGGTTACCAACCAACATTGGCCACTGACATGGGTTCTATGCAGGAACGTATTACTACCACCAAGAAGGGTTCCATCACCTCAGTACAAGCTATCTATGTGCCAGCTGACGATTTGACCGATCCTGCTCCAGCCACAACATTCGCTCACTTGGACGCCACCACTGTCTTGTCACGTGCTATTGCTGAATTAGGTAAATTCCATTCTAAGTTTTTCATTTCATACGCATTTGTCGTTGCAAAGAAGAAAAAATGCGGTTCCATTTCAATTGGTTATTCAATCACTCAACGTGATTGCATAACACATACGAAAAAAAACACACGCGTCAAATGTTCTGAGTATCAAAGTTACTAATGCGGCAACGCATTCATGCTCTATTTTCAGGTATTTACCCAGCTGTCGATCCATTGGATTCAACCTCACGTATCATGGACCCCAACGTCATTGGTGCTGAGCACTACAACATTGCTCGTGGTGTGCAAAAGATCTTGCAGGATTACAAATCACTTCAAGATATCATTGCCATTTTGGGTATGGATGAATTGTCTGAAGAAGACAAAGTGACCGTCGCTCGTGCCAGAAAGATCCAACGTTTCTTGTCACAGCCTTTCCAAGTCGCCGAAGTCTTCACTGGCCATGCCGGTAAACTCGTCCCATTGGAAGAAACTATCAAAGGTTAGTGAACCTGAATCGAATAAAATTTCGCCTACATTTTTCATTTGCGGTTAACACAGCAAAAACCAATTTTTTTTCATTGATGTTCCTTTTTTTTCCGATTCGAAATTATATTTATGTGTGATAATAATGGTTGTTCTTGTGTATGTTTCTCAGGTTTCTCGAAGATCTTGGGTGGTGATTATGACCATATCCCAGAAGTCGCATTTTACATGGTCGGTCCAATCGAAGAAGTCGTCGAAAAAGCCGAACGATTGTCGAAGGAAGCCGCTGAAGCCAACAACTAATAAGCAGCCACACAATTTTAAATATTTGAAAAATCCTCCCAGTCGAAAATCAACATCAAGATATAGCAACCAAACTATTATTGAATGATAGAAAAAGAAGACGAACGAATTGTTATGAACGAGTGTCAGAAGAGAACATTCTTTTTCTGTTAATATTTAAGCACATACACACATCATTTGTCTACGCCCAATGGACTCTTGATGTCAAATAATTATAATAAAAACAAAAAAAAAAACTTAAAAAAACACACAAAACATGTTTTGATTTCTCTTTCGCTCTCATTTTATTTATCTCAAATTTTATTTCTCTGAATTTATTCGTGATAAAATTCAAAATATATTTGTCATTATTCTAGTACAAAAAAATAACAAATATTTTAGAAAAGAACTTGTTTTCGATCGAAAAAAAGACAATTTTTATTCTCTGAGTATCCTCTAATTTAAAATTGATAGTAATCTCGCACCATCATTACAGCTCGTTGTTCATTTTAGATTTGATTTTTTTTCTTCTCTTAATCGTTAGACGTGATTAATAACTAATTAATTGGACAGTCCCCTTCATGTTGTAAACACCATTGTGGTTGTAGGCTTTCGGCTGCGATTCCGTTATCGACTAAACGTTCACGATGAATTAACATTCGAGGCTCTGCTTGTCTCCAGCTGTCCGATGGATCGGCCCACAATCGTTCGGCTAATGCACTAAGACGAGGCCAAATTCGGCCATCTAGCGTGTGATGATCGGTTTGTTCTGACCAAAGTGCAGCTTCGGCACCATAAAATTGTGACTTATGCTTTGCACCATAATGTGTGAAATTATTTTTGTACACCTTCTCCCAGCCAATGTACGGTGAACACCAGTTATTTCCTTCTGTGACCCAGGCACCAGAACCGCAATCCAAATAGAGACCATCATAATTGGACAAAATCAATTTATAACCTCTCTTCAATAAATCAGTTACTTTTGGATCGGCTCCCGTTGTCCAAATCTATGCGTGTATGAATAATGGATTTCGTTTTATCAGTGGAATTTTTTTACATCAAATTTATAATTGAATCGGATTATTTGAATTTAAATATGAAGTAAAACAAATTACCTGAATAATGTATCTTTCTTTGTCGAGATATTGTTCGACGTATGGAAGTTCTGTCAAATGGCTCGTCCACATAATGATTGGCACCTTCTTTCCGATGACTTTGTCCAAACGTTCAAGAGCTGTGTCTTGGAAATGACCCCACAATTTCATAAAATCGGACACTTGAAGGCCCCAGCCTTTTTTCAACATCCATTCTTGGATTTCGGTACTTGTGTTCCAGCATGAAGTTGACACTTCGTCGCCTCCCATGTGGAAAATGTCTGGCTTTTGGAATGCATCGTACATTTCACGATAAATGTCTTCGAGTATATCGTACAAATGATCTTTTGTTGGATCCAATTGGCCACATGGTGGTTCAACACAGTATTTCACCCATGGCTGAGCATTGAAGCAGGCAGTCACATTTTTACGTTGCCATCCCTCGCCAACATGAGCCGGAGCATCAAATTCGGGCAGCAATAATACACCACGAACGTGAGCATATTGATACAGCTAAATGGGAAGAAAAGCAAAAACCAAATTATTTTCAAATGGACAACGATAGAAATTTCATTCATCTTACATCGATAATGTCTTTGATGGTGTACACTTTGTCCGGTGCATAGGCGCCAATTTCGGATAGATCGGGATGTGATTTAAGTACAAGTGGGAAACTTTGTGAATCAGTCATGTGCCAATGGAACACATTCAATTTAACCATTGCCATGGCATCTGGAAGAAAATGGATTTTTTTTGTAAATGAAAATGTCATTCAAGCAACAAAAAAATCTTTTAAAAAAATTCTATACCGATTGCCCGCTTAATTGATGTAACGTCGAAGTAATTCCGTGATGTGTCCAATAGGAAACCTCTGTGTGGGAATACGGGCTTGTCTTCAATTTCGAAATCACCGACAACTTGCAATTCCCGTCGAATGTCATCGAAGACAATCAACTGTGAAATGGTTTCTAACGCATGACGTGCGCCGAAAATGGTGTCAGCCTTTACTTTCATAATGACAACTCCGGTATTTTCGTAGCCCTGAATTAAGTATGCTTCATTTGTGTCTAAGCCTAACTTGGCATTTTCATCCTTAACATCGATCATGATCATCAAATGAGCGGCACTGCCATCATCCTTTACTTTCGTATAATTCGGCACTTTGGCTAAAATTTGTTCGCGCAATCGTTGCTCATTCGATCGCCAGAATAAATCGTTTCGTTTCGATTGATTGATTAAATTGAACTGGATTTCGGTCGGACTGAGCCGAGCCATTTTGCCTCGTAGCGTTGCTTTGCCATTCACACGTGGCCACAGCGTTCCGGGATGTTCACCGCAAAATAACCGACATACTTGCAAACTGACGGCCGTCTTCTCATCAGTCAATTGAACGCGTTCACATTGATTTTTACGGCATTCATAACTCCAATGCGAACTAAACAAATGGAAGAAAACATTTTTTAGGTTAACTATTTGTTTCTGTTTCTCTCTCGTCTTTCAATTTTTCACAATCAATGACATTATATAATTGCTTTCTTTTAGATTGGCAAAATATTAGGTGTTTGAGTGTAGTAGTAGTAGGCATACACTATAAAATGAAACAACCTTTAAGTACATACATACAATTTTAGAAAGCACGTATTTCGCTATAACCGATCATATGATCGTTGTATTTTTCTGTTGTTTTGGAAAATTATTGATATCTGATCAAACGCTTAATTGTTCAAAATAATTCCCATAAATTTAAAGGTTATTCACGGAATTACAGTACGATACCGAGGAAAAATAAAACAAACGCAAAAAAAAAACGCGAAAAAAATTGTAAAATGCATGCAATTCAATTTGCCAATTATAATGCAACGTCAATGCTAAATACTTTATGTTGTTAGAATAATAAATGTTTACCTGGCAAAAGCACCGCTAACTATCGCCAATAAAGCGATTCCTAATAGATAGGATCCGTTCATAATTCTGTCGTCTCAACTGCTTTCAGCGAAAAATAGAGAAAGAAATCTACATATTAATTCATGAGATGTGTAACAGATAGAATGTTACAAATATGTAAATTATGTAAATTCAACGAAAAAAACACACACGAAAAAACTAACAAAAACAAAATTTGTCACACATTCTTATAAATACTTTCCAATATTTACTATTTGCGTGTCTTATATTGATACCTTTTGTTGTTGATATTCCAACACTGTGTCGATTTCCTTCACGTTCGGTTAGTGGTTGGCACACTACTGGATAATGTTTTGTTGGCCAAACTCATTATATAGTAAACGGCGGCGGCTGTCTTTCTCTCGCACACACAATTCCGTCTCGATCGAAAAATTCCAGAGATGGAGTATATGTATATCAATTCGTTGTATTTACTGTACTCCGTACAGAACAGTATATATACATTGATATACCTTTGCGTTCGCTGTCACAAAAGTAGTAGCTGACGCATGCGCTCAACGCGTTAAACGCAAAGGTATACGTTTTAGTATATACCGATACACATTTCCATACACTTATGGTAAACGATGAACCATCTCTGAAAAATTCTAACAGAACAACGATAACGCAATGGAAAATTTTGGTTGAATACCATTTTAAAAAAAACTCGTTTCATCATCGAATCGAAAATAGTGGGAAAAAATGTTCAACCGAATTTTTTTTTCACATTTGGTTCACTCAAATAATAATCGGATTGCAAGCAATGAACTTGGAACACAAAATGTAATAAAAATAAAACAAATTATCGGAAACCTGCAAAGTGTCTTCTCTCCCTTATTTTTGGATGCAAGCCAATTATGGTGACGATTTAAACTATAAACTGAGCCGATATTATCGTAAGAAACACGAAATTATGAGCCTATTAGCTGTGCACACACGCTACCAAATTTGTATAAACAAATGGTTTTATTTTTTGGATAACCGCAATTTTCGATAAAAAAAAAACAAATGACAACATACTCGTTTTTAGTGTCATCAGCATCACACCTGAATGTGTTGCGCTTACTTGGATTGTATTGTACTGTGTGTGTTTGGGATGTCGACATGCGGATAAGAAACACTCTATTCAATTGACACATGTGTTGTGCGTCAAATGTTGAGATGTCAATCCGCTACGTATGTATTGCGCTTCTTTCAAAATGCATTGCATCTATGGAACCGATAGATGGCTACGAGCGGATGATGAAAATGTGTATTTTGTACGACGAAAATGTATTTTTTTGTACAACGTAGAAAAATCTGTTATATTCATTCCAGTATGATGTGGTCATTTTAAAGTTTTCAACAAATTCCTTTTAATACTTTCATCTTGATAATATTTTTTTTATCTTTTGCCATTAATCTTTTATCGCTTTTAGACGGGCAAAAATTGTACATAAATCGGAGATTTTTTTTTTTTCAAGAACAAAGTCATTCGTTTGCCATTCTCACAAACAGAGCGAATAAAAACAAATTAATGCATCCAATGAAGTCCCGTTATAATTTATGTAAAATTATTATATAGATACCGTTGGGTGATTTATTTCGAAAGGAATTTCTGGACTGATTTTCAATTTGAAAAATAAAATTGGTTCAACAAAATATATCACACGTGTATACTTTGTTTGGATCATATGACTTTAATGGAAATAACCTTGTGCAGCTTGGCGTCATTTCCTCCACTTCCATATGTTTGCAATGATGTTTGAACTTTGACAAGCAAGCTTCTATAATACAAATTAAATGCGAGTGAAATCGTCGATTAATGATCGAACTACTTTAAATATTTTTGCATCAATTTTCAATTTTAAATGTTTTTACTATTTCGATTGACAATCAACTTTTTTTGACGACGAAGTGGACTTTTTTGATTTCCACAAAGAAGCTGTCGTTGAATTTTTCAACAAAATATTCGTCTTCTTCCGTTTTCTTTCTTTTTACCTTGAATCAACAGGAACATTTTATTTTCAATGCAATGTTTTGCTATATCAATTCCAATAGAGAAGTAATGATGGGTTGCGTTAAATCCAACCGATCTCATGCAGTCATATATCAAACCATGGATCAACAACCACATTTATATACAAATTCTTCGTGGTTTTATTCTATTTCCTTTTCTATTTTTACTTGAGGGAAACTGTGCATAAATGATTTTGTCGGAAGAATTATTTTTAAGAACTAATTTGGGTTATTCATTTTGAGAGGAAACTGTTTTTAATTTTCAACAACAAATTTGATCTGTCATACGAATGGTTTTAATCGCATGATAAAAAAAAAATATTCACTCTCATTGATGCAATATGTGACTTTCTTAATTAAGATTTACACTGGGAATTCAATCAACCGACTTGAATTTCTAAAGAATGAATTTCCCTGAACAATAAAACACCAGAAACATACTTTATTAAACGTGAGATCATTTATTATTTAATTTATTTATTTATTTATTCCACCGTCTAATCACAGACTGAATATCATTATACATTTCATTTACAATTTGAATTTTACACAAGTAGTGAGACACTCCCGAATCGAACGGCCTAGCCACCAGCCCTAATGGCTTCGAAGTGGCGTTCTGCGGCCCCCGACCGTGTTCACCACTATTCACTATGCATACAATTCTTCGAAAATACTGCTGTCTAAGTTGGATACGTTTCTACTAAATATTTGCCTTGATGCTGAGTCTAAGAACGATTGCCTTACTTTGTTAAAATTTCTACACGCTACAATAAATGGCTGATTACGAGCATAGTCTGTGCCATAAGTTTCAATTCTAAATAAATCTCTATTTTTTACATTTCTTTGGTTTTTGTTGTCTAATCGTCTTGTATACACAATTCTTTCTCTGAGTGCTGTGCAAATCAACTTTCCTAGGAGGAGATCATAGATTAATAATACTGAGGCATTTATACGCCGCCTCCAAAGTGGTTGAATATTCAAATTATCACATCTTAATTGATACGATGGCAACCTGTGATTCAGTCAGTTGAAGAATTGATTTTTTCTATTTAACTATAAAAGATAAAAAAATTTACGGGTAACTAAAATAGTGATACCAAGCTAGTAAGAGAAATAAATTGTATTTCCTCAAATCCATATTTTTCAGCGCTATAAGAAATGTTGGGTTAAAGGTCCGGTTTTTTTCTAATATTTTTAAAATAATTTCTAACCGATTTGTAGGATTGAAGAGACCTTCTGTTTTTCACTCATATTGATTATTCAATTTCAAAAAGGCGCAACATTTTTCAAAACTGAAAAAAATACAAGATCTTGTAATTCATTGTTCTATAATTTTTTTCCAACTAATTTCGATTACAAACATTTCATGTAGTGCGAAAAAAATATAGTTTCCTGTGAAGTGAAATAATACCAAATAGCTATCAAGAACTTGTTTTCTTCAATATGAAAGACATTCACTTATCCTAAATACAAATTACGTCGAATAAATTCTTTGGAATACCTCCACTTTAGAAGGAAAAATGAAATCGACCTTAGCATACAATTATATGGTACCCCATTTGTTTAGAATATACAAATCTACCATTTATACTCCGAATATTGTCGAAATTCATAATCTTCTTTGTACAACGACCTCATGGCTGAGCCTCGTTTCAACGTAATGGAGCCCATTTTTGTCGTATTCATGGCCCATTTTGTCGCAAGGACAACTTTTTCTGGTAGATAGAGTGTGATTGGATGGGCATTTGCTGAAAATTTTCTTTCACGATCAAATGCTGACAAATTGATAACATCATTTTTGAAATGAATACCCGACCGTAGGGTACGAACCCGTATTTCTTTTACATTTGGCGCATCACGTATAAATGTTAGAACTTCATTGGAACTTGCGTCGAACAGGCAAACTCGTTCGACATTCACTTGATTTTTTGCAAGTGTTTGCAAATCGTGAGATTCAGCATAATCAACATACAGTTCTTTCAAGCCCAATATTTGTGGTAAAGTTGCGATCTTTTGTTTTAAATACAATGTCGTTAATCCTGGTAACGACGCGATCAAATTAACAGTTTCTATTTTCTGTCTAGTAAGCTCTAACTTCAATCGTTTATAGAAACCTTGTTCGTAGAGTTTATTGATAAAGTCGCATAGACGAGCGGTATCTTCGGAATCGCATACTCTCATGAGGCTCAGGATTTTAAACCTTATAGTTGTGTCTAAGAAAATGCCATTAAGGGAAAGAAAGGATCGAGAATCAGTTGAAAACAATTGAATGCTTGCATTTTGTTTGAAAAAATTTCCCAACCGAAAGTAATAAATCGGAATGGAGCTAGGATCCATGTTGAAACAATTCAAGTCTTCAACATGAAGGTATTTTAATTTTGTGTATGGATATCTTAACAGTTCATCACCATAGTTACACCATTTTATGGTCAAAAATTCCAAATTAGTGCACCACTTGCTGAGAAATTCGTGTACCACTTGCAGAGAGTGGTCATATTGATGGATACGCAATGTAATTTCCAAGCTTTCTATTTGGGATAAATATCTTCTACCTCTGGTAAGTGTACGGTATGCGTCATTTGAATAAAAGTTGCGACATAACGATCTCTGAATTGCAAGTCGTGTGACCAAATGTGGATAATTTGATGTATCCAGTTTTTCAAAATAATAGGGACCGTTCTTTGCAAGAGACTTAGCAGATCCAAGTAGTTTGCGTGGAAATTCGGTTTTAATGTGGTAGTCAATGATCTGTTTGAATCGTTTACATACTAGACGGAATGCAAGTAAATCGGAAAACGAAAGCCACTCGAATAATTCTTCGAAGCAATCTACGTTCAACTTGAATATTGGCGATGACTTTGAAGCGATAGATTCTGTCTCTCCATACAATACATCACTGCTATTCGCCGAATCCTCTGCAGACATGTTTGATTTGGCTTCCAACCCTTCCCCTTTGTCGTCCATTTTTAATTTGCTCCAAATACTTTCAAAATTGTTTGGCTGGTAGCTTAATCGCTGACTCTGTGAAATTTTAAAGAAACAATTAACTTATTTTTACTAGGGGACAGACACGATTAAAAAAGTAGTGATATTTCGTTTAAAAATAGCAAAATTAGCAGAAATTAGAGAGACTGAAACTTTTTTGTTCCATACATTAAGCATTGCCAATACATTTCCTTATGGAAGTTGTTTTGTTTATTTACCGTTATTTTTCAACAAGTCTGCCTATATCAACGCATTGCACTGTGCATAGTATATGTCCATAAGAAATACACAGAGACAATGCAAAAAGATAGGCAGATTTGTTTACAAACAACAATAAATAAACAAAACAAAAATCTCCATAAGGAATGCATTGGTAATGCTAAATGTATGGAAGAAAAAACTAAAAAATTAGCAAAAACTCATAGAATCAGAAGAAACAATGGAAAAATCGTTCAAAACAGTTGAATTAGGACAAATTGATACCGTGTCTTGCCCCCAGTATTTTTATCACTTCTCAAACACTTTTCATTATCACATATTAAACGAAAAAAAGAAGCGTTCATCTTGTATTGTGATCTGGAATCGATACAAATAAAAGTCTATAAAATACAAACAGCAACTTCGGAAAAGATTTATTTTTGCAAATTGAGAAAATAGAATGCATTTTCAAGCAACATGGTTTAAAAGTTACCTTAGCTCAATTTCCAGTTTACCATATATAACCAATTTGTTCTTTGTAAAACATAAAACTGTGAATGAATTATGTCAGATGTCATTTTATTCCATTTTGTACTTCAATGAAAAGTATACCCAAAGTACTAAAAAGCAGACAAGGAGACAAGTACTAAACAATTTAATTTGAAAAAGTAATCACACGTTGGCACAATGTGAAACGATTCAATTCTGCTGATTCTTCATATTTATTCAATGCAAATATTTTATGTTTTTATTGTTAGTTTATATTGAAAATATCCATTTTCGTTTTTCGTAGTGTTGTAATTTTCTTCTTCTTGTATTATGTAGCCTCTTCATTTGATGGTGAAACATTTCTCTTTGTATTCTTCTTTGTTGTTGCTGTTGCTGTTGCTGTTGCTGTTGTGCTCGAGGGAGGTCGGAAATACCCTGGGCGATTGTAAATGCACATTCTGTAAAACAAAAGGGATGATACGAAGTTTAGATCAAGCTTGCGTTCTCAAATCTATGTTATATGCATTCAAATACGAAAAAACGATCTTGTTTGAATCATTGTAAACTAAATTTTTAAAAACAAAAAACAGATAATTTGAAGAAAAAAAAAGTACTGTAATTACCTAAAACAGTTCGTCGAAACAGCAACGTTTTAGTGTTAAATGCGATAACTCGGTGGATTTATGTTGATCAAAGTAGTGTAGACACGATACCAGATTCCAAATAAAGTGTGATTTTATTTTGGGATGTTGTATTATTTCTTCTCAGCTCGTTCAAAGCTTTGATATCAATGACCTTAGTAGAGATACTTTCGCCATTCTTTTTCTCGGCCAAATTACGTACCGTCAGTTGAATCAAGTGGTTTATTTTCAAAAACTGTTCCATCTCTGTAGGTTCTGCATCTTCCAGGTAAATACGTTGTATGTTATTGGCTTTTCGAACTAAACATTCTAGTTCCTTGATTTGTGATCCACCAAAATGCACATTTTTTAGGCTCGTTATGGGCTCCAAATCGTTCGTATCAATGATTGCATCCATGGTTAATTTCACCATATTCAAACGCCCCAATTCGATGAGTGTGCTTTGATCAATTCTGAAGTCTATAGTCACATTCAGTTTTTTATAAACGTTTGCTTCGAAAAGTTGACGTAAATCTCCAAAAACCGTTGAGATGTCACATTCTTCAGTGCCTCCTTCTAAAATGATCAATGTCTCAAGAGCTGCTGACCGTAATGCAACTTTTAGTAAAGGCAGCGCATTTACTGTTGTCCGAAACACTTTTATTGTGGGATGATTCCGGAAAAATTCGGCAAACTGTGCAATTCCGACGTCTGTGCAATCGTCTTTTCGATGAACGCTCAATATGTCGAGTGATGTTAAATTCGGCATCACCATGTTCATCCAGCTATGGTTGTTTTCTTCCACAAAAGATATGTTACGTATTAAAAGGAATTTTAAGACTTTACATTGTCCAAACAAAATTGTGTGCACTTCTTCGATCAGACTTGGCAAAAAATCCACATCTAACACTATAATATTTTCGAAAATATCTTTGACTAATCTGATACCATCTAATGTCAAACTGTTTCCAGGTTCATTGATTGCAATTCCCAACGCTTTGATAAGTTTATATTCGTCTTTCTTTGTTTCTTCAATCAAACGGTTACATTCACCATCGTCTTTCAATATCACACGTCGAAAACCAAGACGTACATTCTCATGTTGGGTAGCTAGCACATAATCTACAGCCGATTGAAAGGCTTTATTTACGAAGCGCACATTTTTCAATTGTTCTAAATTTAGAGGATTACAAATCCTCTGCAATATTTCCAATGGTAAATCTTTAATTTCGATCGACATTTTTTCACTGTTTTGTAGAATGCAAACAACTAGTCTCTTATCACGCAGCACGTGTAAAAAATAGCAAGTTAAAATTTTTTGTGTGTCTCTTAATTGTGCACGAATACATACAGAATGATACAGCCGGCTGCCGGTATGTGTATAAACAGCGTAGCGAATACTGATTTGAATAAAACCTCTCTCTTTATCTCTCCCTCCCTCAATCTGTCTGCTTATTTTCTTTTCTCATTTTCTCTTTACAGAACACACAACCGGCATATGCACATAGTTGACAGTTTCACAATCACCGATTAACGTAATAAATTTGATTTGACCAGAACATTTTATTTATGATAAAAGTATAATCACGTTGCCTAGGAAATATGTTTAAAGCCAATATATTTTCTTTGCATCAAATTTTCCTTTTCTTCATTTTTGGCAACGAAAAAATCATCCAAGAACCAAATTATGAATATTTCGACCGATAAACAATTTTGGATTTGAGCGAAAACAATTTCGATGTTCATTGAACGCACCCATACTATGTTTGACAGTTGCACTCTAATACATCAACATGAAAGGCATTTATTTGTTGACGTATCGCCATATGAGACATTCGCAAGAAAACAAAAGTGGTATTTCACACAGTCTTCCGTGGTTCAATTTGATCAAAACACAAGAGCATCAAGAAGAAATCGTATTTATTAGTTATTTGGTAGGATAAAGAAGCCGCTAAAATGGATCCAGCACTTTTAAGAGAACGGGAAGCGTTCAAAAAGCGGGCTATGGCCACTCCAACGTAAGTTACCAACGAATTGAATTCAAGGCTGGTGTATTTCTCTTCTCTAATTCGGATTAATTTCATTATCTAGCGTGGAGAAAAAGAGCCGACCCGAAGCGACCGTAAAAGATGTTCCCAAACCAAAAGTTCGACCGCCGAGCGCAGCACCCAAATTGGATGCATCAAAGTATGCCGAGAATCTAAAATTGACTATGGCCCAACACCAAGAACAAGAAACTAATTGTTTTTTTTTCTGTTTGTTCTGTACATTTTAGCTACAAAACCATGGCTGGAAGTTCACAGTACCGTTTTGGTGTGCTGGCGAAAATTGTGAAACATATGCGAAATCGGCATTTAGAAGGCGAAGACCACATGTTGACGTTAGACGATATTCTGGATGAAACCAATCAGCTGGATGTCGGTTCATCGGTGAAAAATGTATGTCAATCATAGAAACTGAAGAAACCATATGATTTACCTTTATTTTAAATTCTTTCATTTGTCAGTGGTTACAAACCGAAGCTCTTCAAGAGAACCCAAAAATTGATGTGTCTCTAGATAAATTGCGATTTGCTTTCAAACCTGTCTTCAAATTGAAAGACGGCAAAAGTTTGATTAAGCTATTGAAACAATACGATTTAAAAGGTCTGGGCGGTATCATGTTAGAAGAGATTCAAGAATCGTTGCCACACTGCGAAAAAGTCCTCAAGAACTATGCAAAATTTATTCTTTACATCACACGACCAACCGATAAAAAGAAAATCGTTTTCTACAATGACAAATCGGCCGATATTACGGTACGTTGAGCTATAATAACTCTTCTTCTTTTTAAATCAACAATTAATTAAATGAATGTTGACACAGGTTGACGAAGAGTTTAAAAAACTCTGGCGATCAATTCCAGTCGATTCAATGGAAGATGCCAAAATCGCAGAATATCTCGAGAAACAAGGTAATTCATTTGATTGTGGTTCGATGCAGCGAAACGATTTATTGATTGCCGTTGATATTATTTTGTTTGTGCCACAGGAATTCGGTCAATGCAAGATCACGGTCCAAAGAAACCATTGGTGCCGAAGCGGAAGAAGGCTCAATCGAAGAAGCGACAATTCAAAAAGCCTCGGGACAACGAGCATTTGGCTGATGTGCTTGTGACATACGAAGATAACACAATTACTCAAGAGGGCGCTAAAATAAAGCAATCGTAAACAAAACATTCGAAATTTGAATTTAAAAAAAAAATGAAACGAAAAATTTGTTGTAATGAAAATAAAAAAACAAACATTTTTCACGGATAAATTGTATTTTGTACATATTTCATTCACTTTCAATGAATTTACTCATATATCACTATCGGTTTGGAAAAAAAAATTCCAGACGATTCTCATTTTCCGCATGACATGTTATGTTTATAGTTTGAAGAAAAAAAAAATTCATAAATAATCAACGAAGAGAAGGTAATCTTTGTGGCTTTCGTCATCTTCTTTCCCACGACCCATGGTTGAATTAACAGACAGTTGGACAACATAAATATGAAATTGCCACACAATTTAAGATATTTTTCTTGAAAAAGATCGGAGACTAATTTACTTTCGCCTATTCACCATCATCCAATTGTTTTGATATTGCATTCTGAGTACAGTGGTTTCACGATGGGTCGCACACAGATAAATGGATAGGCTTATTGTGGTCATGGGGAAGTAATCACGGTTTGCATACTGGGATAAAAAGAAATGCGTACAGTAGCATACTCCACTTCCGCGTATGGAGATAGATAGATAGAGAGAGAGAGAGAGAGAGAGAGAGAGAGAGAGAGCGCGTGCGAGTTGAGAGTGGCGTAGCGACGACTAAGTGAGAGTGAATGAGAGGGAGAGTGAGTGATGGAGCGCGATAGCACACATAAAATGCTTGCTTACGCGGAAGCTCAAACAAAGCGGAAAATTTCATCGAAAAACACAACGAATAAATATGCTATAAATATATACATACAACCATTTAAACGCGTACACAAAACATGTGTGTATGGATGACGGCGCGCAATGTAGCACGCTGGGCCTGTTTGAAGATAAGGAAAATGTAGATATAGAGCTCTCTCTGGAAATCTGTGAAGAAAAATATGGGAAAAATATACGACGACAACGACAATGACGATACCGTGACAACACAGAGACCAAAACCGAATGTTCTCTCTTTCACACACACACGTACACAATTGTGTATGCATAATAACAGCAGCAGCAGCAGCAGCAGCAAGATGTGTGCATGTGATGGGTGAGGATCGCCTTGGATAGCATACAAAAATACAGTCGACCATGACCTGTTTTTCATTTTCTCCCTTGTTTTCCGATTTTACCATCCGCACACTTGTTATTGTTTTTGTTTTTCTTGGATTCTGTGTACATGGCAGCCTGCTGCTGGATCTGTGCTGCCTGCTAACTGCATGAGTGGTTGTGTGTTGAACATTTTTTTCCCCCAATTTCCCTTCTTTCATTTCCCGTTTTTTTTATTTTCATTGCTCCAAAACAGAGACGGAGAGAGCATTTTCCATCAATTGTCACCATCGAATGATGGAAATGTTCTTGGCAACCTTTACTCTGTTCGTCACATTGAATGCAATTTTGCATTTTGAACTTTCACACAAGTTTTACCCGTATTGTTCAAGTGCTTGATATATTAAATTAAAACTCAAACGACGAGCAAATCGACTGGTAAAATCAAACGGGAAGAGGAAAGAAAAAGAAGAAAGAATAATAAAATGTTCACACTGTTGTCTGTGGAACCGTTTCAATGGGACTCAAAAACTTAAAATCAATAAATAACCATCGGAAATCACGTGTTTGTGTCATTCGACTCAGTTAATCTTTATGTTTCAAGTGATATTATGCAATGGTTTTTTGAAAATAAAAGCAAAACAAGTGTAAATATCGCGTGCAAAGAATTTTGCAAATCGACTGAAAATAAACGAGTGAATCGTTGTGCCAAATAATTCGTTAGTAAACCAGCCAACCCAATCGAAAAAGGGGGGCCGGCATACAATGGAGCTTCCATCATTATCAAATACAATACATGCACAGCATCAATATCAATCAAATTCGGATTACAACACAATTGACGTGGAAATTGGGTAGAACAAAACCGATTTCACATCATTAACAACAACCAAATTGAACTAAAGCAACAACATTTTCGATACGTTCCTTTCCAAAGAAGATGGTTGATCAAAATAGGTAAATTATGATGTTGTTTGAAATGATGCGCACAAATAAATGAAGCGTTTTAGTTCGAAGAAGGAACAACAAAAAGGATTTGCATAGAATCCACACGCTCAAATGAGAATGTATCAACAAATAATAATGTCATGTTAATAAAGTACATACAGTGGAAAAAGGAGGAGGAAAATCAATAAATGTGCATGTAAACAGACAACGAACGAGAATGAAGTTTCAAAGAAATGGAATTTATGTGACAAGATTGCATATTGAAAGCGAAAAAAAAAACAAACAAGCAAATACACATCCGATAAATTCTCCATTGCTTTGGTGCATTTGAAATAGGCAGAAGCACACGGACCGAAGCCACGTTGACAAATCACAACCAAATACAAACTCGCTAAATCGATAAACTTTAAATATGCATGCATTTGATAGAGAAAAAAAGGCCAATGTTTGTTTTGTGGTCGCACATTTTCAATGACCAATACATACGAATACAAAATACGCTTTGCGTAAATGCTTTGTTTTTTTGTTGTCGATTTTTTTTCGCTCTACTCTTCAAACAGAAAATTATGTGGTGTGTCAGTTAACGTTGACAATGATTCGTATTTATGAAAAAAAAAAAAGATTTGAATATTCTCACATTTCGCATATGATGATGTTTATGTTTTGTGTTGTTACAGTGTAGCGACCACCACCAATACTATACAAATTACGTTACAAATGCAAATCGAAAATCCAGAAACGTCCTTAACACCGCCAACACCATCGAGTCCGGGTCGTGATGCCCAAAGTCCCGAAGGTATTGCATCGCTTAGTTCGGGTTCCAGCGACAATGCACTGGGTAAATACAATTTAATTAAACAATCTTTTATTTCGCTTCTCGGCAATTGGAATGGATCGTGATTTCAAAGCCATTCTCAACCATATTTTTTATCATTTCCATTGTTTTCTCTCTGAAATAAATCTACCCACACCAGCGCAAAACCAAGAAAGATGGTCGGAAAGATTTATGATTGAAAGTTTTGCACTTTTCTGAAACAGAAAAACAATTCAATTATAAACTCAGTACTCCGTATGTATATAAAAAAAATGAAATGAAAGCAAATTGTATAACAAAGCAGAATGTGCAAGAAAACCTGTGGAAATATCACACATACACAATGTGTGGATGGTCGTAATAGAAGAAATCTTAATTAAAAGTACGGAACTTTTGAAGTTTATCCATTTTCATTCCTGTGAATGATGTGGACGATGATACGCTCTCGCTAGTTTATTTGAACTTCTAGACAAACTACTTTTCCCGAATTGCATTACAACAACTGCCATGTTTCATGTCTTAAACTTACGTTTTATAATCGAAACAAGGAGAAAGAAGAAAAAAAACAGCAGATCGCTAACAAAATGTGGTGATGAATAAGAAGTGTTGAACAAAAGTTGTCACTCCAATGACCACAACGACGACAACGACATTTCGGAATAGCTCAAGAGAGAAAAAGTGTTAAGTGAAGATAAAAGAAGAAGTTAAAACGATGACAAAAAGAGCAGTTTTTTACTTCGAAAATATGAAACATTATTGTTTTCATTTTCAAAGAGCCGAAAATGCGAAACGGGCTGCGCTCGTGTTTGAGCATGTACTTAAAATTCATTCATGTGAACCCCGATGATCTGAAGAATGGTGTTTGCTTTGTCCATTATAAATTATCAATTCAATACTCGCAGACTGTTTACAGCCTCCGCACACGGTGTGTGTTTGTGGACTCGCGCGCGTTCGCGCTTATGCATTTTAGAGTCAAGCGAGAGTGAGAGAGAGAGAGAGAAACCTAAATAAAGAAACTGAAAATTTGTACAACAAATTTAAGGCATTAGCAGTTTGGTGTTGATTTGGTTATGTTGTTGCTTGCTGTTTCTCTCTCTCTCTCTCTCGTTCGATTACCATTGGCCGCGATCCGTCTACATCGAAGGTAAATGAACTGCGAATGGCATGTTTAACATCTTTTGGTTTTTGGTTCAACCACAAGGGGAAGCGGTCATAGAATACATTTTGCGTTTGACGAAAAGCCTCGTGCCGTTTGGTAAATTGTAGCTCGCACTCGCTCCCTCACTCTCCACTCTCTCCCTCTCTCTCTCCCTCTCCCTCTCTCTCTCTCTCTCTCTGAACTGATCGCATGAATGATATAGTCATCCGATACGAGGAAAAAATAAACTCATTGCGAATTGCTCGCACTGTGTGAATGCGCTGCTGCTGCTGAACTGAACTAAGATCATCATACGATAAACAAGTCTCTTCGCATCGGTCCAATCCAAGCCGTGTGTGTTTGCATATGTCGGCAAATCGAGAAAGAAAGCAGAGCAAGAGAAAAAAAACAACAGCAGCAAAAACTGATGAACGACAAGGAAATAACGAAATTTATATTTATTACACAATCACTTCTCAATGGATATGCCATGCGACATTGATAAAAATAAAAGACGAGCTAAGAGCGAAACACCTTAGAAGTCACATCTTGTCTCTGTGTTACGGTACGATAATTCAGATGAACGCCTATGAGTAATGCAATAGAAAGAAAAACGCACAAACAAAGAAGCGATGCACACGGTGAGCTTTTATATATTGCTGTCATCAGATAAAAATCTAGTCAGATGAGAAGAAATTTCATTGTTCATGCAATAGACGCTATTAATTTATTTGGCTAGAAAAAGAGAAAAAGGTGCGTTTAATTTCCGAAGGAGATAGTCGCATGAATTGCCGAAAAAAAGGTTTGAATCCTAAACCATTTGAAATGTAAAAATAAATTTGAAATGGAAAAACTTTTTTTAGTCGTACATTCTGGTTCGGAAGCCACAATGTATGTGCATTTATGACTTTGAATGGAGCATGAACTTTTTGGGCGGCCTGAGTGATTGTATGTGAATGGTTTTTTTTTGTTTCGAATTGAAATTTCAAATATGCTTGGGTGTCGAAAATAAGAGAAAATCAAACATGTTTTCCAATCACCATATTCGACTGGCATTTGGAAATTTATCCATCGCAATTATTGGCTATTTTTTTTTCTGTTTCATTCATTTCTCGATACGTGCAATTATAAGTGTTGATGAAAATAGAAAAGAGTGGATGGAAAATGACCACATTTCTGTCTTTCGTTTTATGTTCTTTTTTGATGCATTGAATCGCAATTGCAAAAAGCAAACAAAGGCAAACCAGAGATAGAGATAAGCGCTTCATGGCAAAAAGAATTTTGATTTGATTTTCAATAGTAAATGCATTGCATTCGGTTTCCTTCTTTTATCGGCTGTTGTTATTCGATATATTCCGCTGGCACCGACACGTGAGTCTGAAAACCCCTCTATCTCTCTCGCGCTCTCGCGGTGAATTCCATGCAAAACTCAATCCGTATTTTATCAATTAAACGGATCGTTCCGTTAGAGTCTGACATAATACAGCATCTTTCTTTGTCTGTTTCCTTTTGTGTGGTTTTTCGCCATCAGTGTGTGGCGTGCGACCACAGATTGCACAGCCAAAGCCATTGGAATCTCGGAATGAAACGATGAAAACAGAAAACGAAACAAGGAGATCTATGTGCAAAAGAGAAAACAAGGCAGACAGCTAGAGAGAGAGAGAGAGAGAGAGAGAGAGAGAGAGAGAGAGAGAGAGA